TTTAGTACGCGGAGCAATCTGTAGAGCTGGAAGCTGAGAACTGGCGATTTTGTAGTACAACTTTAGTACGCGGAGCAATCTGTGCAGCTAGAAGCTGAGAACTGGCGACTGTGTAGTACAACTGCAGTACGCGGAGCATCTGGTGAGCTGGAAGATGAGAACTGACTGGCGACTTTCTAGTACAACTTTAGCACGCAGAACAACCTGTGGAGCTGGAAGCTGAGAACTGGCCACTTTGTAGTACAAGTGTAGTACGCGGAGGAGTCAGCTCTCGCTGCTGTGAGTCATCTCTCGCGACTGAGTCAGCTCTCGCTATAGCCATCTCTCGCGGCTGAGTCATCTCTCGCTGCTGAGTCATCTCTCGCGGCGTGCAGGTTTGGCACAGTTCATACTGATAGTATTTGGTTGCATTTATGCAGGACAGGACATTCAACTGCTGGTCAATACACCACTCATCATACACCACTCAGCATACACCACTCATCATACACCACTCGTCATACACCCCTCTTGTCGTGGCAAAGATACAACCCAGTACGCTGTTGTGAGCTGCTGATCCTGCAGGGGGCACACACCTTACACACGTGGAATCCCGTGGGTCAAAAGTCCGGAGCGCGTGCGTTTGACTGGAGGACGCGCATGTTGGAGAGAACGTGGACACTCCTATAGGTCAATTTGTTCTTATAGCAAACTTCCGCCGCCGGCTTGCCCGGGAACTACTTGTAAAGTTTACTAATGATCTACACCTGGGTGGGGCGAAACATGGCGAAATATTCTCTTTGGACTGCGGCTTCGCGCTAAGTGGATAGAGTCCGAAACCAATCCCAGATTCGGTCCATGTGCCCTCCAGTGGTCGGCCCTGGAAGGTTGCAAACATCAAAGAGACTCAACACCAAGAACAACCGGTCAAACACCAAGACATACCAAGACACGTTCTTTATTGGACTCTTCATTTTTTGGTCGATAACCTTGATGTGACCTCTATATACTTCTGGACCACCAACAATACCCAACATATGGCGATGGTTGTTTTCCCTATCTGAGCAGGGGCAGGGATCATCTTTGGGTTACATTCTTGAACCACTTCTAGCCTCGATCCGTAGCCGGCGGAGCGTCGCCGATCGAGCGAAGCAGCCGGAAGAGGGGGCATCCCTGGACCGGTGTGGCTGGCGGTCCCGGATGGTGGGCTGGGGCGAAACCAGCCAGGTGACCCCCATGAAAGTGCTGGTCTCATGCCCCTTCGGCGCCGAGTCCAACTGAATCGATGTCGTTCCGAGGATCCTGAACTTGCCACTGCTGGTGCTCGTAGGCACGCTGCTGCTGTTTCACCTCTGCATCTCGTGGAAGGAGCTCACCACCTTGGAATACATCCTGGCAACCTGGAGAACCGAAAAACCCGTTCGCCGGAACCATCTCCGGCGAAGAAACGATGGACATCGTTCGATGCTTCGGTGACCGGTGAGTGGGTCGAATGGGTCGAAGCGTGGAGAAAAACAAAATCACCGCGACTCAGCATCTCGAACTCGTGAACTTGGTGAACTTGCCCGTTCGGCCTCCAGTCGTACCGAACCTGAGAAGGTGGGACTGGGGTGGGTCTGGAGAGTCCAAATACCTTCTAAGGATGTACTTGGAGGTGTAGGGTTGTGAACTTCCATGTTCCTCATATCTCCGGTGGTCGAGGAGTCTTTGCGTCGACGGTGAGGTTCCCCGCAACGGAATTCGATGGAATTCACATAGCTTGGGGTTCACTAAATCCATCACCAGTCACTAGTCGCCAAGTTGGGGTTCAATCAACCTGGAACCCGTATGTGCTTTCTGTTTAACAACTTAAAGGATCTCAGATGCCATCTTGGAACAGCATGAATTTCCAGGAAGGCCCGCCCCGCCATTTGAGCCCAGGCACACATCACCTATGATAGGCTCGGCTGAATCCGCGGAGGCATGTTCAAGAACACCTGGCCCATCCAAAGAGCGAATTAGAGGATCCAACTTTCAATGGTCTCCGGTTTTCAGGCGGGAGAGGACAGCATCCAAGTTGCTGAGCGGGGCTAACATGGGTTAACAATGCAGGCTGCAGCCTTTGGAGCCACCTTCAGTTCGTGACCCCTGTGGAGTCTCAGTTTGTGACCTCTTTTTTTTCCACCGCCGCAGTGGATCACCTTTCACCATCTTTCACCTTATTCCTTGGGGATTGGTTTCCCCACTGTGACCATGGAGAAAGCTTCACCTGCTTATTCAAGGGATTTCCGGCTCGGGAGTCTCAGGGACTCCTGGCCCCCACGGACCTTCCCCCAAGGCACCTGACGTCGGATCCCATTTTCCTGGACCTTCAGAGGGGTGGTCCAATGGAGATCCACAAGTAGAAGTAGTGTAGGGATGCGCAGGGTATACCAGATGAAATTGGATGAAATTGGAGACCTCTTAGGAAGGTGCTGGTGGAACATGGACACGATGCAATGACTTCGCACAGACTTGCAGAGATAGACACATGATGCTCACTAAGTTGCCAAGTTGATTGATGGCTTTGACACGACCAGTTGGGCTTTATAACACCTGCACGATCCTGCAAGCGCTGGCAGGTTTGTCGGTGACGTTTCTGAAATTCTCAAGAGGATGCTGTTGGTCATGGTGAGGATGTATATAATTTGTGTTTGTTGGTAGGGTTGATGCTGGATGAGTGGTGTTAGCATGGTTGAATGTTGGTCGACATTAGAGGGAGGGCTGATGTGTTGGTGGCAAAACCTCCAAGCCTCCAGGACCATCCAAATCGGATTTTTGGTTTGCCCATGTTTCGACCTTTTCTTTGGAAGTACTAAGTGCCTGGACCCTTATAGTCTAAGGAATACGATCGTTAAATTGAATATAGTGGAATTAGTGGAATGAGAGTAGATGGCACAGACCCCAATGTTGGTGGTTTAGATGGCACAGACCCGGTTTATATGGACCCCCATCTGTCTAGAACCTCTTGGGGTGCCAGTGCCATCGAGCCTCTGAACCCACTGTAACATTTGTGCAGTGAGGCAGGGGTAAGCCTGCCTGCCTCGGAGTCCGCACGCCAGCTGGAACCGGCCGGACTCGTCAGGGCTCTCGAGGCGGAGTCTCCAACGCCCATGTCCCACGAGGCCGCCGATGTAGTCGGAGAGTCCAGCGCGGGTGGCATGGGCCGATGTTCCTCCCCCCTTGGAACTCGCATGGAAGTGGAGTCGAGGAAACTAACTAGTCTTCCATGGCGCCATGTTCATCCATTATCCACTTCCATGTAAGTCCCACAAAGTGTACCATCTTTAAAACCACGTTTGAGTGATCAGGGCGATTTGCTTATTGGGGTGATGTCTATTTGCGAGGGGTGAATCCCCTTTCGATATTTTCGGACTATTTGTTTTTTTTCTTCAGCATTTCCTGGTTCATCATATGGTATGTCATACATGTATGGTCTGGATATACAAGGGAATTTTGCGAGCTCTTTTGGATGTTTTTTTCTGAATGGATGTCCGATGCCACTTTTTTTGCGTCCTATGTTTTGGAAGGAGCTCCAACTGCAGATGCCACTCGTTGATGTCTCAAACACAGTCAAAGATCGTTTGGGTAGTTTTCATGTCGGTTCATATGTTTATGCTCAACCATATTAAACCTATACTGGGATGATTGAACCCACAGACTCCTAGTACTCAAGTGAATAGAAATAAACCACCAACCAGCCACACTTTCTCAGGGCCAAAGCCACACCTGGAAGATGTCCTTCAGAACGACTGGACAGTTGGATGGCCTTTCCCAGCCCCCCCGCCCGAGCAAATATGCAGAACAGAATGAGTCGTGTTGAGGAAATGAGTCCAGCCCCCCCGCTCGTTCCTTTTGAACTACACTCCCCGACATCATGAAATGGAAGGGAAGTGGCACCACCTATTTGGTGTCATGCTTCTTCCGGGGAGTGGTTATGAAAGGTCAAGCACGTGCTGGATAGGTTTGCTGGATAGACCCTGTCACCGTGTGCATCCTGCGACCCTGCGTGTCTCAGGATGGCTCCCCGTTTTTTCCACTTCCCAGATGTGCCCTGGTGACGGGCACGGACGGGGCACCGGGTGTGGGAGAAGAAGCATAAGCGTGCGACCGAGCTTTGCGGAAAGAGCGGATTTCCATCGGCACATAGGGAAGAGAAGCAAGCAAGAAATGGGATTCCACCGACGGAATCTCCAATCAGGAAAACATATGGACCCGACTTCACAGGTCACCAGCCACTTCTTTGAAGTCTGCAGCCAGCAGGGGAGACTTGTAGAGTCGGGTCCACCAGGGCAGACGCGGCATGCGACGGGAACCGAAGGCAGATCCGATCCGCCCACACCGCTCCGAAGACCGTCGATCCACAGAGCTCCGATGTTGTGGGTTGACGCCATCCATCGCAGGAGACGTGTGGCAGTGTGTAGCAGATGAGGTACCCCAGACCATCCACATGTATGACTCTATGACTCTATGACATATTTACCTACCTACATTGGAGTGGTTTCAGGGAGTAGATGCAAATCATTATGCCATGACATGGATGGTTTGGGTACCAGTTTGATGATGACACCAGTTTACACGAACCGGTTCATATTTTGGCACCGCAAACTTCAGAGTTGCTTCCGGATGTCCGTTCGATGAGCTTCACCGACGCAAAATCAGACGCCTTACCCACGAGTGCCGCACTTGCAAGGCCTACAGAACAGCGATTGAGACGGAAGAATGACGAGGGATTGGGAACGAAAAGACAAGGTAGAGTATGGCACAAACCTTTGCATTGGGTGGTTTCTGAACCTGTCACCGGACCTGGAAACAACTACTTGTTTGGCAATCTAAATTTGGGGCAAATCCTTGATGATGTTCTCCCCAGTCCCTGCCTTCAGCGAATCGTTGTGAACATCCCTTCTTTCATATGGTGCACCATGTTTGACCACCGGTTCTGGAAGAACAACACGGTTCAGCATCCTGTCCCTGCCCAAACGAGATGTGTGGGGTTCCCTGTCCCGCGACAGGCCTGAGACATCCTGGGACTGGGTGACTGGGTGCGTCCTTTTCTTGAGACGCCCAAGAAAGGCCCTCTCAACCTGCATGAAAAGAGTGACTATAAGTTAGTGTGTACCTATAGAACCCATTTAACATAGACAAGGCCATATTTGTTGGGTGCTTGGTGCTCCAAAATAGACTTCACTCAGGTTCGAATTCGGTATTCATGAAGAGTAGGAGCGATCGGACGCTATCTCGGACGCTCCTGGCATCGCTCCACTGCCGCGGCCCTGGGCGTCGGTCGTGAGACCAACCGCTTGAGGTGTGGACTGGGTCGTGTATCGCCGTCGCACGCGGAAGCCCAAGGCGCGCGCGGCCTGGGCGGGGCAGGAGGTGTTTGCATCTGGTGTTTTACGGAGTGTTTCGGGGATTTCTTATTTGTGTTTATAAGGTATTCCCAAGTGACCTTCTACACATTTATGGGCCTTTTGGTGACCTAGCCTCATCCTCAAACCAGGATGATATCAAACTTTAAAAGGTCACTTTCAAGACCCAGGGGACCAGGGGATAGTTTTGTCCTATATATTGGAACGATTCGATGATGTGATTTGGAGGAGGCCACCTGGAGAAAGCATCAATTGACAAATGGAATCCAGGCGGCTCACCAGCGGACATTTGTTCATACCTAGTGGATCCCAGGCAGCCACGAGTGGATCCCAGGCAGCCACGAAAGGTCAGTCTATGGAACCACTGAAGCAAAATGAACCGGGAGCCACCCCAGAAATCAGGTCTACGGTCATCCCGGTCATCCGTTCTCCCCTTCTTGTCTGTCTCGATCCGCCCGGTCGCCGATGTCCTCCTCTCCTCTCGGTCCGTCCAGCTCTTCGGAGCTCCATCCAGGCCAAAGTGGCCCCGCAACCGGAGGAGGCTGAGGTTGAGGAGCGGAGTGGCCGAAGAGACCTTGGCGCACACATGCGGGGTGGGGTTTTCACTGGTGATTAAGATGATGAGGTTGGACCCATAGGCGTGGAGATTGGACCCATGATTTTTATTTGATGATATTGTGTGCAAGACCGAGATACCTTTCGACCAGAGAATGAACACAAATCGAAGCATCATCCAATTATTTCCGAGACTGAGTATCCGTCCAAGTCCTCAATTCTTGTAATGCTCTTCGTTCCAAAAACTTTCCCTACAGGTCAAAGAGCTCATTTTACTGGAAGACTACTCATGCAAAAATGCGTCTCGATATATAGGAGGGTATACTGCCCCAGGGCTCCGGTCGTACCTCCTCAGGTTCGGTGTGACTGGACCCTCCTGGCACCCACCCCAGTTCCACCTTCGAAGCGAAGGTACGACTGGAGCCCTAGGGCTGTAAAGGAACCAGATTTTTACTGGTTGATATGATTGACATGATTTTACTCATGACCGGCACATACTTGTTGGGTACTGTAGATGTTCTCTACCTTGCTATCCCACCTTTGGATACCTCGCCATCCGACCTTTTCGCGTACTGGCCGTGACTTATATGACAAGAACGGGACGCCACCGCCAGGAGGGAAAGGCCGTCGACTTGGTGGGGGTCCTCGACGTGGCCATGGGGGATGTGTGTGCGGCCCGCTGTGGAGCGGTCCTCCACGTTATTTGTCCTTGAACACTGAAGACATGCTATATATTGGATCCATCCATCCATCCGTCCGTCCGTCCGTCCGTCCATTTATCGATCTATCTAGCTATATCTTATCTTATGTTGTTTTTCCTATCTTATTTTTATTTTGACTGATTGTATCATATCCTATTATATTCTATGTTTTATCAGATCATATTTATCATAGTTATTTATCTATCACTATCTATCTATATGTATGTATTTTACTAAATTGTTGTGTTGTTATTTATTATGTGTTTATATTTATGTATGTATGTGTTCTTTCATATCTATATTTATCTATCAATATGTATCTATTCATTATATTATGTATAAATTTATCTATCATGAAGCCATACATATATATATATTTAAATATCTATTTATGGCTAGGGGATGATTTCGGACCTCCACTTTTGAGGCATTTACATGTTACTACAACATACATACTTTCATTGCTTACTTCAACATCTGACATCTGGCAGTGAACCAGGGAACCCTGGCACAAGGTACTGCTTGGTCGAGTAACTGCCAGACGGCGCTGCTTTCTTGGTTACAAACCAAGAAAGATGGCCGTGCTCGCTCGGCATCAGCTTCCCAAGGCAGTGTTCCAATGCTTGCTCTTCCTGCACCTGTTCTTCCTGCAGCAGAAATGCCCAATGATGACCAACATGGAGAGGGAGATGGAGGTATATAGTGGTTCTGATTCTAGTTCTTCGGATTCATCATCGTCTTCTACATCAGAGAACCCGGAAGCAGAGAAACAAAAGTCTGTGGAACAGGAGGCCACGCCAATGTCAACTTCTACACCCCGGGCACCGTTGACGCAAGACGAAAGAGTGCTTTTCCAAGAGTTGCTAGATGCAGTGGGATGCCATCAGGAAATCGAGGAAGAGAATGATCGCCTGCGCCATGAAAATCAACGTCTGAAGGATGAACTTGCACAACTGAAACGTTCTTTGTCTTTGTAGAAACTATGAGCTGCTGTCTGGCTGTCTGGGAAACTTGCTAAAGCGCGCGCGGCCGAAACCATCACGTAACCCTATTTATATATGTATATATTATATATTTTTATCTATCCCTATCTACCTCTATCTATCTCTATCTATCTCTCTATCTCTCTCTCTCTGTCTCTCTCTCTCTCTCTGTCGGCTGTCCGTCTGTTTGTCTATCTATGTATCTATCTATATCTAGTGATGGGTGCTCCACAAATAGAGCTCACTCTTCGCATCTTCGGTCTGAGTCTGGGGTTGGGATGGACAGGCCCCGGCGTCGTGGGAGGATCTAGGTGCCCAAACCTGATGTGGCACGGTTTAGCTCTTGGCTCTTTTGCTTGGTGGATCGGGGTGCCCCCCAAACCTGGGAAATATATTTGGCTGATGTTTAGCTGCCAAGCAACTTGTGTTTGTGTTTTCCTGGCTGGACAGCAAAAGCGCTTTTGGGTCGAAGGAAAAGGTTCGCAAGAGATGTGTGTCCACTTATTTTGGAGTGCTTTGATATGGTCGGACCGTCTAAAGACTCATGAAGAGGTGCTGTTTCACCAGGATGTGGGACAAGCCACGCCTGGGACCACTCTCCATCACTCTCCAGTCCATGTCAAGAATTCTGCACGCACGGGTCATGCAGACTCCTTCAGACCATTTCGTGTGACAAGACTCACATGGCAATGCGTTTGGTCACCAGGTCGCACAAGCAAACAGCACGGATAAATACTGTAGTAAACTGTAAACAAATTCAGTACATACCGCAGCCCCCTGGAAAGGCGTGTCTAGAGATGAAGGTGTGTGTTGCCCACCTTGGTGGGGTCCCGCTGTCGACGGTCGATCTCCAAAAAGTTCCGACTCCCAGACTGCCAGACATTCCAAGCAAGAGCCGAATGTAGACTCAGGTGGTTGAAATGAGTGCCAAGAGGGTTATCCACTACCCGAGGATGTGGGACAGCAACCCTTTGGGGAATAACCCCCCCCAGACAGGGATTGTAAAATTGTAAAAACGTGTCGAACACGGTGTATATTCATATGGTGAATCTACATGACATCGAAACCTTACAAATCCACAGACCATTGAAATCCTTTGAAGGGCAAAAGTGGCGAACGCATCACCGCTAACCTCAGAGGGTGGCAGTGATCCATAGGGAAAACTGTTGAAACAGTTAAGTTAGGTCCCGCCTGGAAACCCAAACAACCAGAAACAAACGGTTGTTCCAATATGGCAATTAAAATCCTTTACATAGGAAATGGCTGTTTGGGGAAGCATCCATGTTTGGTTTCCCAGGCGTGTGTGCCAGCGTTTGGATGTTTGTGCCTCGCTGCAGTTTTTGTGCGCCCAGGTGAACCGAGAGCCTTCGATTGAGCCAATCTCGGAGGCACCCATCTTGGGGAACCAATCAAGACTAAGAGCAATGGCCTCCATCCTGAGAGCGATGGCCTCCAACCTACTATATAGCGATGGCCTACAACCTAATAGCGAATCCAGAGTAAGATTATGTCAAACTCAGTGCGTAGGTTGAAGCTGTCTATTTGAGCCAGCTAACTGTGACGGAGTGTACGTGAAGGAAGAACCTTTGCCCCTGCTCTGCTCATTTTGGAAGAAGCAATTGAGTTACTTATATCCCTTCTATATCGTGAAACAAGCACCTCTTTTTCAGTGTGATTGGCTGAAATCGCTTGGCCTCAGGACTCTCCTCCGCAGGCGGGAAAAAAGGCTTCAGAGGAGCGCACACGATCTGATGAGGTGTGACCGGCCATGCGTTCCAGGCGTTCCGACGTCCCTGAGTTGCAAGGGAACTGGAGCCAAGACCTGCTTGGGCTACATGTGGCTAACTATACACACACACACATATATATATATATATACACCATATTATGTTGTTTTTGTTGGTCCCCCCTGAACAATTACATTGTATACACTTATATATGGTTGTTCTTTTTTGGGTTCCCCCTGATAAATACGCATCGGAGGTGTTCTGTTCAAGTCACTCTTGTTCAGGGATTGCTCGGACCAGAAGCCCAGTAGGACTTGTTTTACCTGTATGTTGTTTCAGTGGTGCTGGATGAGTTATTGTCCATTCAATATTGTTCAGAATTATGCACTGAACAAGTGCATGGATCCCAAGCCATCAGCAAATCCAAGTCTGCAACTATTGGCAGGCCCGTAAAGTTTGGGGTTCAGGGATTCCTTTGAATGGCATTGATTTGACTATATAAGATACTTTTTGGATTGCCCTGGTCGATGAATAAGGGAAAACTGGAAGGCTGGAAGACATTGAATTGATGGATGGTTTTTGCTACATACGGGACTAAATAGAAGCTCAAGCTAATACGAAGCTCATAGGGAGTGCGTGGTGCTTCTTCTGCTCCTGGATGTTGTTCATCTTCAGGCACACAAAAAGAAGTACCTTTGAAGGCTTCACCGGAAAAGCTTGTGGCCCCCGTTCCTGCGGCCATTCGTTCGCCTCCGAACCCGTGAACCGTTCGGGTGACCCGTGCGCTGTGAAACAGAGCGCGGAACACAGCTGAGCTCAGCACCCAATCGACACAAGCTCAGACCCTTGCAGCTTGGAAGAGATCCTACCAGGACCCTCCTGTCGGGGTGTCCTGGCTGAACTACCCCACACTACCTATAGACTTTCATTGGGCACCCTTTGGAGGGTCCTGGTACTTCACACACATTGGTGAACTATAGGAAATCCAAGGGTCGAAAAATGTTCAGCTAGATCCGATGGACTGACAAGCTGCTGGACTGTTTCTTCACCACTGACAAGCCGCTCCTGTAGGTGATCCAATCTGAGCCACATGTTGCATCTGTCAGCACACAGCAAGAGCAGCCTCGGAAACTCCAACGGGAGAGTCTTAAGAAAGGTCTAAAGGGAAAAATGCAAAAGGAAACACAGGTCTAAAAAGAAGTTCTTTGACAACCTTTGGGTTTGTCAAGGCGTTTCTTTGCCAAAAGCACTCAAGTAGCGAACCTGCAAGCTGGCAGACGGCAACTGGCCAGATAAATCCAACATCCAGGTCCAGCTCATACCTTTTCTCATACGCCACTGGGCGCAAACCGCTGACTTGGCACTTTTGCCTACACCACGCAGCCGCAAAGCTAGGGCTGAAGACAAATCATGATTGGGCGACAAGGGCATGTTGATTAGTAGATAGCATGTCTAATAGTTTGTGATCAGCTATGACGATCATCCACCCAACCAAAATGCCGTTGAGCCACAGATCTTGTGGGCCTGCAGAGTTGTCCCAGGTGTGATGGTTCTTCACCCTACGCGCGCGTTTTCTCCCCCCCGCCGCCAAGTGGCTAAAAAAGGGGGGCATAAGAGTCTCAGATGGGTCCAGAGCCACAGAGGAGCAAAGTTTGGGCATATACCATAGAAATGTGTGCAAAACATACCATACGATACACTTTTGTCAAATGCATGCATACAAAACTATATTGATGTGATGCAGTAATAAGGGTACGGTCCACCATCGTGCAAGCATCTACTCCGCAGAACGACGCAACCGCACGACTCACCAAGTGAAACATGGTGAAACCCGTTTTTGCTGGTGCTTTCAGGCTGAACCATCAGTTTGTCATCATAGCCGTATGTGCGTCCTCATGATTAGTATTGATTAGTCCACGGGCAATCCTAGAAGTTTTTGAGGTATGGAAAGACGGGGTATGTCAGGCATGCCACAGCACACCCTTCTTTGATCCTCTTGACATACTTCCAAGCTCCTCAATTATCTCAATTTGAGGATTTGGAGATGGGTATCGTGGTAGAAGACACCAGTTCCCAGATGCTCCATGTCATGGACTCCATGGCAAATATGGCCTACATCATCTACATCACTAGTGTTTCCTGGTGAACGCCAGCCATATTTTGTGCCATATGGAGCGTTTCAGGTTGGCCTACTTTCAGAGATCCTCGGGGGCGCGGCCCATGGTACAGCATACCTTTCTTTGGACAAAACAGGTTGGTGGGATTTAGTGGGACTAGACCTGGACATACACCGTTCAGGGTATCAAAAATTAAGTAGAATGTTTGGATGATTTGGGTGATACATAGACCTTACAGGGGCATTGTATATACGCTCCCAGACAGCTTGCTCGATTGGACAAAGAACTCTCCTAGACCATCCATGCATGGTTTTTCCGTGGTTTCAGAGTAGATGGCACAATCCCCAAGGTTGGTGGTTTATACGGACCCTAGAAATCTTGGGGTACCAGTGTATGCCTAAAAGAAAATCCTTTTTCAACCCACCCAGGTATTGGGAGAACAGAAGCGAAACCCAGAAGCAGAAGCGGCGCAGAAAAATAATGGTTTCGGATGAGACATGGGAAGCCCGACACGCGGTTTTAAAAAAATACGAGTCCCCAGATTCTTATTGACAAATGTGGGGATTGGAATTGGACGGATCAAACACCGGAGCCCCCCCCAAACCCAAGCTTGCAAACCCAAGCTGCATCCAAGTTGATGTTGAGAGTCGGTCTCAAGGTCAGCTTTGACCCATCCTCATGAGCTATTTCTCCGGGCCTGACTGAAGTGGATATTGAAGTCGACCCATCCCGCCGGATCACCCGCCCATTTGTTGGGAAACGCCTTGCCGCAGATGCACGTGCCGGAACATGCCAGTCCAACCCTGCAATTCAAGAGAGAGAGAGAGAGCGAGCGGTCCTGTAAAATGCCACTGGATAAGGGATGAGCCAAGCCAAAGGAGCATTGATGGTTGATAGTTGTTGGATGTGCGGACGGATGTGGGAAACAGAAACAGCAGGAACTCAACATTCCAGAAAGATATAGTTGAGTGCATGTTGACAGATCGAATCGTACTCATGCTTGTCGTTTTCTTGAGAGATTCACGTGATGATTGGTCCAGGTAGTGGTATTTTTTCTCATTACATTCAATCTTCTACCCTTCACGACCACAAGATTCAGTAGATCCAGCATGTTTGGGCGGGTGTTTTTCAGGTGAATTCTACGTTCAGCCGTTCAGCCCTTTACTTTGGGGATGATCGATGCCGCTGGCACCCTCATGTGTTTCTTTCGGTACGTGCGTGGCAACCACCAAGCAGATCTCGATTTCCTTTTTGGTGCCGTGGACCTGTTCGTTCACTTCGCCGCTGGAAAAAGATGGACAAGGGCGCATCTTCGCCGCTCGGGAAGGGTTTGGGATGGGGACCATTGGTCGGGCGACCAAGGAGGGCGACTCCTTGAACAGATTGACGTACTACTTGCAGATAGGGTAGCATCGGCACGCCATCATTTCAGATATTTCAGACTTATTCAATGATCAACTGAAGATTACTGATGTATTTTTGTGAATTTCCTAGAACTGTTTCACGGACTGTCCCAGCATGTTTCAAGTGCCGACTTGTTTTGTTTTGCGCCACGGAATTCGAAGTCACGACCTGTGGATCCAGCGAATTGCAGCGCTATCCGCGAGCGAAATGGGACGGACCTCAGAACCACATAGTCCAGACCAGTTGCCCTTCTCAGCAACCAGTGAGTCCATGGGGTGTCACTCTGAAGTCTAGCAACCCATGGCCACGCGCCCGAGGCAACGCTTTCAAGATGCTCTTCAGGTCATCGCTGCGCGTGTTCCGCGCGTCGGTCGTTCGCCTGGTCGGACTGCTGGCTGGATCTCCGCGCGAGGCGTTCGGCATACCGATCGCCCCATGGGATGGGGATGACGCCTGCAACTTGGAGGTCTACAAAAGCCCCCATTTCGGAGACCTGTTGGAGAAAGCAATCATGTCTATAGGCTAAAAGGGCCTTTGCTCCGTTCGTAGCGATGCCCTTGAGCCCTAGATGTTACGTCGGGCTCATGTTTCACATCGAAGAGCTGATGAATCCAAGTAACTGGGTGGGTGGACTTGCAACGTGCTATACCTGCAGGTCAGGTCAGAAAGTATATGACATGCTGCAGGTCAGGTCAGGTCAGATACCGTATGCCCTTTAAAAAACCGGAGACATATGTGGCTTGGCCTCAACCAGTCACAGAAGGTGATCTCCAGTCTGAATGTTGGATTCCCATGATCTCAGTGCTCCGCATGGGGAGGAAGGGAAGAGCCCTTGTGTTGTATGATCTTCATCGTCCCTTTTGAGTCTCCAGCTTGTAATACTCTAGAAAGATCAGGTACTGGGGGCCTGGGGGCCACTCCAAACAATCGAAGTGGAATACAGCCTGTTGGTAGAGGAGAACCGTTTTCCTTTCGGGGCCATATTCCACTTCCATGTTTGTTGGATGGAGGGTAATTCAGAAGCATGTACTTCAAGTCTTCTCGCCACAGCTGGGCACGTCGCTTTTCTGCTCGAGCGAGACGACGGGTGACAGGGATTGGCCGGGCCGATCAGCAGCTTGTCAGACCGAAGCCGAAGCAGTAAACGGATGGAGTTGGTGTGCAAAGTTTGCAAAGCCTGGTACTTCAAGAGAACTGTTTGGATCATGTGTCTATTCTTGGGAAGCTGGTTGACACATATTTACAGCCTGTATTTCATCACAGCGGGCATGTTGAGTTATATATGTGTGACTGTGTTTGTTTCTTTGCTGGGCTGGACTGGCTGAGGCAGCCTCGGTGTTGTTTGTATGTCTAAGATGATCGAGGGGGTTGTACAAGCCCATGTTCTCACTGAAAGTACATTGGGCCATCTATATTGATACCTAATTAGACGCTTCATGGGGTGGTTGAAGAGGGATCAATGTACAGTATAGCATGGTTTGTTCTAAGTGTTCAGTGTTTGGGATGTCCGACCTCCGTCTCCGTCCTCCGTGCCGTTTCCGTCTCCGGGCCCGAGGTGTGAACATGGCAGGCGGCTATGACCCGACGCCTGCCCCGGTGGTGACAGCCCCTGGGACGACCGACCTCTTCGGGCCGACCGGTATGACCCGACAACCGAACTGGAGAGGGGGGGGGTCCGAAACGAGCTTTTGGGAGGGGGGGAAATGGCGTCATCTACTCTGAGAAAGCTGGAATTTGGGGGTGGTGGTCTGCTGGGGTTTATGTAGGCATAGGGCCATAGGGTAGATGCAGTTCATCCAGTGACCTGTGGCGAGTTCGGACTTGGCTCTGAGAAGTTCGGACTCGGTGGAACGTTAAGGGGGATCAGGGATTGGGGAGGGGTGTTCTTTCATTACAAAAGGTACCAGGTAGCCGGCAGCCAGTAGGCACTTTTGAGCTCTCAATATCTCAGGTCTGAACTGGTTTGTAGAGCGGGCGGAACTTCAGGCCTTTTCACGGGCCCTCGCTGTGGACTTTCTGCACATGATGTGCAGGTTCAGGATTAGGTTGATGTAGGTTGTGTGAGTGGTTGTGTGATGTGTTGTGTGATGTGTTGTGATGATTTGAGCTAGACAACGGCATGAGATCTCAAGGATGGGAGGAGATCTTATAAACTTTCCTTTCCCGCGCGGAGATCTCTTTGCACCACCGAATTGAGCAGCCGCTTTCAGGCCGCGGTGACCCGCCGGCGTTTCAGTGTCCTGTTTGGAGATCGTGGAGATTCAGTGTAGAGAGTAGTCAATCTCTTAACATGGGCCAACCACCCATCATTGACATATTTGTTGTTTATAGTGTCCCTGCCCCCGTCCCCGCCATCCAAACGCTTTGCATGCAAGAACGCGTTTGCTGCGTAGCTCCGGACGCGTTTGGAGCTCCTCTTCCCGCCGCCACCGCTAAAACGGCCGTCCCCAGGTGACGAAGGCGGAGGACGACAGTCCCACGGCCACGGGCGTGCGGCCCACGTCGCTCGGAGAGACAGGGGAGATCGGCGGATGACAGGGATCGGTGTCGGAAGCGGGCCAGCGAGTGGGGAGGGACGAGAAGCCAGGGCTGAGATGACTTGTGAATCACTTGTGACTTGGCCACAGTCAACGCCGCAACTGAAGTCGGGTGTTTCAACCTCGCGGACGCTCTAGTCACCAGGCCGATCCTGGACCAGTGATTGGAGGCAGAGTTACCAATTGCTAGTATCTAGATGTTCAAACATCCCAGCACCCGCACCTCCCAAGGGACCTCCCGGACCCTGTTTTAAGTCTTAAAACCTCTTGGGTGGTGCTGGAAGCCAGCAACCTCTAGCGGATCATCCAGCGCTATGATGGGTGATAAAATTGGGACCAAAGAAGGCATGAGCCTCGTTTGATCTACGTGGGGTCACTAATTACGGCGTGGTGTGGGGTTGTTATGGCATGTTATGGCTGCAAAAGCACAACACGATACAAAACGCGACGTTCGCCTCACAAAAGGGGCCCGGATATCAAACATATTTTACGGATAAAGGGATCTGGGATCCGATCGCCAGCTTGAATCAATGACCCAAGACCATCATTTTTGCACATGTTTGCCATTTGGGGTGTCCTGGCTGTAGGGTAGTCCGGCCAAGACATCCCCTTGGACATTTTGGACGGTCTCGGTATTTTTGCAATGTTCTTCAGGATTGAGGTGTTTGAAGACCACGCTCCATAAAATGACTCAGGTGCAGTGTGAAGCAGCTGTGTCCCAGTCGAATGAACGCGGAGATCTCCGCACGCTATGACTTTGACAACGAGCTGGGCGCAGGCCATTTGCCCTCTGGATTTGACGTATGGATTTGACCACAAGTTCCATGTAGTTTGGGAGATCCAATTAGTTCCGTTCTTGTTTGGGGAGATGGACTATTCTACCCAGGTTTCTCTTGACTGTGGAGTATAATTGAATGATGTTTCTCGAAGCTGCTCGCACAAACAAGCACAATGTTTTGCATGTTCTACATGTTTAATACCTGCTCCATACAGTAATATGTTTGTCAATGCGTACAGTAAACCCGTGGAAGTGCTCAACGAATCGTCAAGCTGACCATGACCACAACCTAAAGACACCACAGGACTCGTTGCTGTTTTCCTTGAATGTTCCCCCCCAGGGGGGCTTTGTGTGACTCAAAGCCTTTGTTTCTGCTGCAGCTCAAGCCACATTGTCGCACCTTGGAGTGGCTGGCTGGCGTGCTGGCGTGCAGGTGCCTTTGGCTCCGTCTTCGTGGCGAGAGACAAGCGGCAGCAAGACCGCAAGGCTTGCTGGGAGGATGTCGCCGCCTTTGGCCGAGCTTTTGCTGAATGGTTGATGTTCCATGATGTTCCCTATGGGTGAACGGTGAAGCCCCTTCTTGGCAATATGTTGGATTAGTTTCAGGGCCCTTCGTTGCAACAAATCCAAGCGTCTTGAGACGTTACCCGAACGACCCGGTGACGTGGCCGCCTTTGGCCTATGGTTCCAGGTGTGTGGATCATAGGTCCCGTTTGGGCGAAGAAGTCATACCTTCGTTTCGAAGGTGGGACTGGGGTGGGTGCCAGGAGGGTCCAGTCATACCTTCTGAGCAGGTACTTAATACTTGGAGCCCTGGGGTTTGATCATTTTGCGACCTCAAGACGTCTCAAGACCTTGAAATCCTGCAGCCATCAGCCATCCCGGTGAATTGGGTCTTCCTTCTCGGCATGTCCAGTTTGGGATTGGATCCCAAATTGATTCCCAGTGGTGCCAGAGCGGGGCCAGCGTGGGGAGGTAGCTGTGAAGAAGATGCTGATCTTGGATGGTGAGCAGTGACCTGGTTGCCAGAACACGGAGGGAAGGCGGGAAGGCCACGTTGCTGTGGTTCCTGTTTCGATATACAGTACAACATATACACACCCATCAGGCAGGTTCGCACCCAATAATTTGTTTCTTTTTCCCAGGGCTTTCTTTCGTAGGAGAGTCCAATGTTATTTCGTCCAAAGAAGCTGCATGCCAATATATATATATATATATTTAACAGCAGTGACACACGACGAATACATTGGGCCAGATCTCTATATTGCCGTATGTTGAAACAAATTGAAGTCCTGGCTTATGCGGCTTACTGGCTTACTTACCCTCCCAAGAATAATTTCAGTTGGATTCTTGGTTGGCCAAACTCAGCTGCTTTTCTTCCTGTGAGTCGATACGTGTTAACACCAAGTGCCAAGTAGTCAACGATGGTAGGTCCCCATGTTGCATTTTGGTGTCAACCAGGATTTGTGATAGGTGGTTGTCAAGGAGGAAGAGACAACATTTCGATGACCCAGGAAAGAGGCTTTCGAAAAGGAGGCCAAGATCATGTCGCTTGGTCGGCGTTGGCTGACACGTGTGCAAGATGTCCAGAAATGGATGGAATAACTGTGAACCTGATGCTTACTTGACACAAAGATAACAGTTGTCCAGTAATTTCAAGTATTTTTTTTGGAGGCGGCATTCTCTGGAGAAAAAGATGAGGTGCCCCTAGAAATTCAAGCTAGAAGTTCACGTAGCTTTCACTGCTCACTGTTTGTTTGTTCACTTTATCTAATTCTAGTGTTAGGTACAAGTGCTAGTTATACAGTACAGTTATCTAATTTTTATATCTAATACTTAAATCAAGTGTTAGGTATACAGTAGGGGGCCTAGTGACTCAGAGTCTCAGCCTGGTGCCTGAAGGCATCCCCAGGTGCCTGTCACATCGCAAAAGGAACAACTGCAAGAAGTGGCAAACAGTGTTCACACCATTTTCGCTTGAGGATTTCACTGGGCAAATCATGGCAAATCCAACATCATACTGGGGATGTTTGCACTAGGCCAGATTTAAAGAAAGCAGATTTGGATGGTGTTTGCACACTTTCAAGGGGGTGTTGGGCGTGGAGCATCGATTGTTGCATACTTTCAATCGCCTCCTCAAGAGGCCCAAAAAACCTTTTTGGTGTGTGCACCCGAAGATTGGTGGGCACTGTTTGGAAGACAGGATTGTTCTTAGAAGTTTCTCCCTCGCAACTCGAAGAGGATCATTGTTCACCTCACGACGAGGGCCGTTTTGGGGGGTCATGCGGCATTTCTGACGGTCAGACAGGCGAAGATATACAAGTGATCGGTCCCGATCCTTCCACTTTTGCACCGCTCTCACCCGCTCTCACCCGCTCCACCCGCTCTCACCCGCTCCGCCGACATTCGTTGAGATGGATCAGGAAGGACTTGGATCATCCGAACATTTGCCGACTACTGGAAGTCTACCAGACGCCTGGTCACCAGCGCGCATAGCTGAAGCTATCCGAATCGATTCGAGACGAAAGGACTGGGGGGGGCGCGGAGCAAATCGAAGTGGAGCTTCGAAGTCGGAAGCTGTTTGGGTGGTTTTTCAATCGCTGGTGTTGCCACAAAGTGGCCCCAATCCATGGCTTGACAGGGAATTCTGGCGCCAACCCTGACAACTGCAAAAGGACTTTGAAGGACTGCGCGTCCAGTCCCGCAGCAGTTGAGTGCACCGCTGGCCGGGTGCAGGCGCTCTTGGGCGGGCCATCCTTGAGGCCAACGCATCGCCGGTCGCGATGCATGACAGCAAGGCAAATGGGCTAAGGCGCTTGCTGGGGATGTGGCGGCTGCCCTGCGTGGGGTTGACGTCTAGTATGGCTCCGGGCTTTTGCCCTGGCCGCCCACGGACTGTAGGTTTCCGTGACTGCCCTCAAAAGGGGAGGTCATTGATTGCATGTGATTCCCCTGATTTGCCCGCTTCGCTGGGGAGGAGTTGCACCATGATCACCTTGATTGATTGCATAGATGTCCATGCTTGAATCTTGATCAAGTTGAAGCTTGTCACTTCGGCTGGGCAAAGCGCAACAGCATCAATCTCATTCCACAGCGAGGAGGAATGCTTTAATATCAGGTGCTTTTGGATGGTCAATGATTGCTTTAAGATGAAAGCATGGTTGACCACATGACCTGGATATGGCACACTGGCACACTTGCATTTGATTCGCTGTGATGGTGGGAAGTTGAACAGCTTGTTGTCGTTTGAATTTCACACATCCGGTCAATTTATTATGCATAACAACGCATCGCTGGTCGCGATGTATGACAGTCAGGCTAATGGGCTAACGTGCTATCCTTGCGTGATCGGAGGCATGGCTTTAGGTTCACTTTGGCCAAGGACGTGACTGCCGAAAGGGCAAGGGCAGGAGGCCATCACAAGGCCGAAGTAGGTTCAACCGTGCTTTCCCCAGTAGCTGCGAGCTGCGAGCGTTGCTGGCCTTGAAATCAAGAACCTGGCCACTGCATGGCCTGCCACGAACACTTGGGACCAATAACCTCGGGGGTCCGGACCCGAAAAAGACCTGTTTAAAGAAAAGGCATCCCTCTGAGCCGTTTTGGCCGTTCTTCGGATATGTGGGTTACCGACCGTGGCCCGGCGTTTGAAGATCCCAGTGAATGGGTCTGAGGTCCGACATGGAACTGTGGGTGTTGGAATTGCTGAAAGGAAGTCCTAGACCAGCACCTTCATGTCGGGGTCACCTGGCTGGTTTCGCCCCTACACTACCATCCAGGATCTCCAGCCAGGACACCCCGACATGAAGGTCCAGGTATAGACACTCCATGTTGGACTGGAATGGCGTTAACCGTTCACCCCTGAAATCAACCGAGTCCGGAGGGCAAATCTGCAGACCCAGACGGGTGGTGTTAGGGAATTGCTTTCACACCTCCTTCCCATCCCAGGAAAGGTCGCTTTATGTTCTTCGTCATGGAGCTTTGCGAGGGCAAAGCGCCTGTTCAGCGTACTCACTGGTACAAAAGGGGGCGGAGTGAGAAAGCAGTTCGGAGGCCTAAAGTGTTTGGGGACGTTTAGGCTGTATAGTCCAAATATAGAATACTATATTAAGTAGAATAGATTTATTCGTGGGCGAACCGGCGAACCTATAGTGGTTTTGGGGTTCCATGTGGTCCTCTGGAGAGGGGTGGATTTTCGCATGGAATTGGTCCAGTGAACCGGTCGGGGCTGAGGACCAAGTCGATGCTCAGAACACCCCGTCTTGGATGTCTTGGTTTGGATTGCTAAGGTGGTACATGCAGAGGGGCTGTTGTATTTGCCCATCTTGTGGTATTTGCCACGCGTCGGTGGCTCCCGTGGCAAAGGCGCCTGAAACTCCACCAGGACACAAAGCATCAGCACCAGTTTTGGCGGAGCTAGCTGGGGGTAGCACCAAGGTTTTGGTCGTTTCTCGGACATGTTTTGCATTCCAGGTGTAGTGGTCCTCAAATAAATAGAAACGCTGTCCAATACATGTTGAAAGGGATCTTACTTTTAGTATCTTTTAGTCGGGTGTTTCCTTCTTGGCTTTGCCTTTTTTGCTTTTGGCCGCTGTCGAACCGTGGGGTTCCAACGAACGCCATGGACGTGAGACGTGGAAGGAGGCTTCCACGCTCCCATTCGGCCGATTCCGGGCTCTCGCGGGAGGGAGCGCCGGAATTGAGGACGTGTTTGACCGCATGCTGGAGCAGGAGGAGTGGGAATGAAGTCGCAGTATAGGTTGGCAGGTTGGGTGGGACTTTGCGGAGCAGATGTCGAAGGATTCTGGTGGAACTACACCACTCTCAAGATGTAGATTGACCATGATTTGGGGCTCTAGCAGAGTGCTGGCAGGTGAGGCTTGTGGAGGAGACAGAATCAACCCTAATGATCACCCTGTGGAAGACAATGTTCCTCTACAACTATAGTGGTATTGAGAGTCCAAGATCTTCCCGCGGGCCTTGGATATCCCCAGAGAGATGGCCAAGACATGCCGAGACATGCCAAGACCCATTTCGGTCAGACTGAGTGACTGAGGGACTGGAGCAAGAACTCAATGAGAAAAAACGACACCGATTCTCACGGTCCTCAATTCCAAGGAGTTCCTTTGCATCAGCTTTTGCGGCATGCTTATATAGACAGGACCAAGAAACATCCTCTTCTATAATCATGTGAACATCCCAATAATGAACCATGAGACAATCATAATCTGTTTTTTGGCCTGCCAGGATGTTAACATTACTTTGAGTGACTTTTGCTTGCTTGCGAAAAACTCGGTCTATACTCACGCGCTGCTTTGGGTCTTGATCAACAAGGAGCACTCCTTTGGAGAGCCCCAAGCTGCCGAGATCATCCGACAGGTGACCCACAGCCGACCTCCGTGGCGGGTTGGTGCTTGGGATTGGGGTGGGTTTGCAGGGTCTAGACATGCTCTAACCTTTGGGTCCGATTTCCGGTAGCAGTCGGTCAACCAGAAACATCACTAGACTAGTGGCAGGAAGGCCTGCCGCTTGGTTCAAGCGGAAAGATCCACTGTGACCGGAATTGGGATACACCCAAGATCACCCAAGGTTAAGCTTCTGAAAAGTAGTTGGAGGCCTGTAGGAGGGAGCCAGAGATTGGGGGCCATATACCAATCATTCGATGCTGCGGTGCTTCATGGAGGGATGGGGGAGTCCACATCCACTCACCTGATGCTTGGCTGGTTTTGGAGATGAAAAGGGTATTTCTGCACAGTGCTATCTCTCAACTGTTCAAAGATCCATGCAGATATACCATGGTCTACCAGCACCTGCCATTTCTGAGCAAATTCTGAAGGGTCTCCAATGGAATACACTACACATAGTCCTACACATCCCTGCACTCCTTGTGGATCTCCATTGGACACCCCTTTGAAGGTCCAGGTAGGTGACTCCAGGTAAGACATATCATTCCCCGCAGTGTTTCTTCACATGCGCCAGGCCAGTAGCGCCTTGCACTATGCGCACAATCGGATGATCTCCCATCGTGCAACTGGGCAGCAGGGCGGCGGAAGCTGATCATTTTTTGAAGGGATTGATCGCCTTTGCCTTTGCATGTTTCTCCGCCGACCCAGCTTAAACACATTTTAAACACCTTTCTCCACCTTTTTGGGGGGAATGGTTGCCCTTGAACAAGAATGACACGGGGTAAACAAAGGGGTAACCAGAGGAACTCAGGGAGTCGTCGTGAGTATTTGCTGCGCTGCAAGTGAGCAGCACTCCCTTTGTAAAGGGAAAGTAGTGTCCCAGAAACCTATCTTCCATGATTGTTTGAGTTTGAGGGAGGCTATGTGGCATACAATGCCACGATATACCCAAGATAGATCAACAGGCTCGGTGGGGGGGTGTCCGGCTCCGCTTCCGGTCCCTCGACTTCGTCCGACCGCAACCTTCTGGAACCCAGTCGCAACCCGCTGAGCCGGACATCGGAAGCAGCTGAGCCGGAATCGACCTCGTGCAGGACATCAAGCCGGAGAACATGGTTTTTGTGAACCGAGTGACCTGGCACCACCGGCGCACCTCCGGTGCGTTCTCGATGGTGGCGCGGACCCGAGCCGAATGGGACGGCGGAGAGGTGCGGTGGAAGAACTCGGTCGGAGGAGAGGTGCGGTCGTCCAGAATTCTCCGCGTCGCTGTTCTTATTATACTATGGGAGCCCAAAAGCCAAAAAAGGGTTTAGTGATGCGAGCAAGAAGTGTTTACTTTGGGACATGTTTTTTGGACTTCTAGGGCGGGGTCCATACAGTTTCATCTTTCTCTCGAGCACTGGGTTTCGCTCTTCGAGGGGTTTGGTCTCCACAGTCACCATCGTATACCATCGTCTTCGCATTCCTTGCGGTGGCGGTGGGCCCTTTGCAGCCCGACCCCCACGTCACAGCCCAGGATTCGGGCTGCAATCACATCAAGGTCATCGATTGGGGCCTTGGCTTCTACTTCGGTGATCGAAGAATGAAGTCTGCTGTGGGCTCTCTTCAGTACTGCGCCCCCGAGGCCGGGTTTCGGGGGCTGGAGCCGGTCATCCAGGTCCTCGTTTTCAACCATGCAGTCGGCAGAGAAAGGTGTGAAAAAGCATAGATGGTACTATTCGAGATTTGAATGCTAATGAATGGTTGACCAACTATACGAAAAAAAGCTGGCTCCCAGATGAAAGGTCGGAAGCGGCATCTTAAGCGGGTTTAGTCCGCTGCCGGGATCGGAAAACCTCGGTCAGCTTATATCCAGCCAATCAAAACCAGGATCACCAGGGTCCAGAGGAGTAGACGGAAAAGAGTTACTGCACACTTCAAGCACCTGGGAAGTGGATCCGAGTTTTGCACTCCATACTACCATACACTATGAGACTGTAAGATGACTCTTTTTCAACCACCCTAATGTATGTTTAATTTCATCCCTGAAGCGTTTGGAATGGACAAGGAGTATACAGTATACAGTATCGTCCTTATTCTTGGATAGTTTTCTGAATTTATCCCCGCGGTATGTCAGGAGTGTTTCATATTTGAAGCACTCCACCATGGGACTGGAAGATATGCCATACATTGACCCATACCAGCGCCCCAGCAAAGGGGTGTTTATGGACACCCCACCTCTTTTCGAGGCTATTGTTAGACACCCCAAACAGGGGAACCTGGTATTGACCCCTGAAATCAACAACCCCAAAGGTAGACCCTAGACTTGCAAAACATGTCAAAACCATTCAACAAATGGTTGACCTGGTTTTGTAGTGTAAAATCCACGAGTTAAACTTGGGAACGAGCCATGGAATGGAAGCCGCCCTAGATGCCGAGGTGGGTCGGTCGTGTCGATTGAGTGAAGCCAGGTGCTCCAAGCTGATCATTGGTCCAAATGGACACAGGGCTACTCGCAGGCCTGTGACTTGCATCCCGGCAGCATGGGGTGCGGGGTTCGTCGTCACATGGCCAAGACTTCACGATATGGCAATACAGATGTATTCAGATGCACACAGTACACAGAATTGGCTAAGAGGAATGGGCAAGATCAGAGTCTAACAGAAGACCTACTCCAAGCAACTCCTTCAGGACCACCTTGTGCAGCCCAGAAAAACACTGGAACCGAAGGCTGGCAGTTGAGTCCCACGCCTTTGGGTGACAGCCGTCCGGACGTCCTGTAGATGTTTTCTTTCTCGTCGGAGATGTTGTGGGTCCAAGCGGCATGGAGATCTCCTACGTGGTCAGTTGGACTGGTTGATGTTGGTTTCCAGGGAGGAACCTCGATGGGCCAGGGGGTCTCCCAGTGCTGAAAAGAGCACGACGCCATGTGCTTCGGCGAGGGACCGAGGGATCTCTGTTTGCATGATCAATCTCAGTTCACTCAACCCGACCTGTTTCGCCTGTTTGGGACTGGCATATTTACCTTGGGGGTGTTTGATTTGCGGTCAATTATAGACATATGATGGCGTATGTGTGCCAGCCCCACGATCAACTCACGGTCCCCGAAACGGGTCCTTTTCTTCAACCGACCCGGGTTGCAGCCTCCCCATCACCCGCCCATAACCAAAACACAATCAACACGGTAGATCCTGTCCCTATGATCCATGCACACACCTGAATAGGACAGCGGCAGGCCAACGAGTGTCAACCTACTGACCTACTCATTCATTTGGTGAGGCAGGTCAACCTACTCACAGCCGAAAAAGACCTCATCGTAGTCTGTCGTGGGTCTTCTGAGAAGACCACACGTCACGTGGGTCGAGCGATGAAATTCTCAGATGGAGCTTGGGCGTGTGCACCTACGTGATGCTTTGTGGAAAGCCGCCCTTTTGGGGTCATCAGGCCGGGTTTTTTGAAGCGCGAAGGCGGTTTTTTAGGGCCCTTTGCGGTTTGAGATATGGTTGGAGTCCTTTTTTGAGGGGATGGTTTTTGAAGGTGCTACATGATTTTTCTCTTGAAGGTACGAGGGGCGTTTTAAGTATTAGTTTCAATGAATACTTCAACCTGATTTGGGATAGCTGAACCCTAATGTAGACTCTTGATTGCTAACCCCCCCGTATGAAAAGGTTGTTCAATGGGGGGTTATGAATCAAGATTCTACCTTAACCACAAATGGTTGCTTTGTCAAGTGAGTTGACAACACAACCAGCTTTGCTTTGCCGGCTCCAAGCTTGGAGCGCCCGAGGCCCTTTTGCAAGGCCAAACTCCCTGTCTCAGGCAATCATGTATGAATAGCGCCTTCCTTGTAAAAGAAGAAGGTAAAGACACTCCATGCGATTTGGTTTGGAGGGGTCAATGTGTGCTCCATACATGCATGGAGTGTTTGGGGAATATTAAGCCGGCAATGGTTTTCCTTGGAGTGAGAGACGGTAAATGATGGGAACCAGCCTTGTTCACAAACACTGTTGAAGCTAGGAGTTGGAGACGGGATCTCTTATTTGGACGTGAATTATTGGCAAAGTTTGGAGTGGTACTGCAAGAGTTTAGAAAGTAACATTACGACAAATATGTTAAGGTGCGGTTGGAATACGATCTCCCAGAGAGGGCTTCGTAGAGATCAAACATCCAGGCTTACTTTGATTCAGCTGCTACCGACATGCGGGTATGGAGTGTGTTTTGTCATGACCAGGTTCCAGCCACAGGCTGGTGGTGTGCTGGAATTTGCTTCCGCAGGCGCAGCAGCTGAAGATGATGAAGAAGGCAAAGGGAAGTGTTTCGAGTCCACGACTTTCAATCAAGATTTCGATTGAAAAGGGTCTTCTATAGTCAAAGTCCTGGTCCTACTTTTTCTTAGGCAAGGTCCGGCATGGTATTTGGGTGCTTCGGGCAGTTCCGTACAGGCCGGAGTTGCTGGGTTTCGTCTGCCAGCGAGTGCCCCGAATTCGGAGAAAGAACCCCAGAGGCTCGCAGGATCTGCGGTTAGTCGGCATTCATTTGGACCTCAGACCAGGTCTGACTGTGAGTTTGGACCAACCACCCTGGTAAATGCTCCAGTTGTATAGCCTTTGATCAGGCAGGCTGAGCATATGAGACGCACCAGTGGCCAAAAGGAGACGGTATATAACTCAACACGGAGATTGGGTCGTCGCACTTAGGGTCTTACTGTATTACTCACAGAACTGACTCAGCAGCGCTCAAGTTTCCTCGCCCACTTGCAGTTCGGCACCATTTGGGGATTGGTGAACCCGTACTGTTTGGAGGGGGAGTTTCCATTCCACCCCATGTGGCCAAAGCGTGGGAAGTAGGGATGTGACACACCCGCCAGGAGAAGTTCCCCATGGACGATGCGATTTGGCAGGCGATCTCGCCTGAAGCGAAAGATCCCTGGCAGATCTTTAAAGACCCATGCCCCTGCGTGGAAGCACCATCGTCATTTGGCCGCCTGTCCCCATCCGTGGGACTGGCATATTGACCTAGATTGGCCCTTACAGCATTTTAAAGCCACACCAATTTAGGCAACTATTCCATATATGGATAGCTTGGGAAAGACCAAAGACCTCTCAGTAACACCGAAAAAGAGTGTTGGATGGTGTGTGGTTCGCAGTTGCATTTAGATTGCAGAGGCGAAGTAGAATATAACCGGTGTTGTCCTGCGGTGCGGCTGAGGACCTAGTGAAGAGTTTGCTGCGAGTGAATCAGAAGAAGAGGCTACCCTTGGATAAGGTGCCTTTGAGCTGCATTGCCAGATGGTTCTTTGGTCGGGAGCACAGGGAGACCAGAGTGAGCAAATTGGAAGGGATTGCAACTTGTGAAAGCATGAACATGCACTAGGTACGTGAGTTACATGACACTGAAATGTATTTTTTATTTGTTGTCGAACATTGTGTTAAATTCTGTTAACCCACATCCATTTTATGGGTTTGGAAGCATGACAGGACTGGTTATGCATGCCCGCCCCATGCTACATCTCCTGATTAACCTTCCGTTGACCAAAACCCCAGGCACAAACACAACCAAAATATGAAAATAATTGGCAAACTAATGAAAGTTCTTTTTCTCCAACAGGTCTCCTTTTTTGGAGGCCCTCGTTGTTTGTGGTGATGCCCAACCCATGCCCCCCAAAAAACCGTCAACCCGCCTCAGCCCGAAAGAGATGCAAAGAAGCATCACCTGATGAAAGGAGCATCCGCCTCCGCCTTGCGCCGAGGTCCTGAGCCACCCATGGTTCACCGTTCAGAACCTCCGCGCCTCGCAAATCTCGCAAAGCGTGGCGAAGCGGGTGCTGTCGAACATGCGGAACTTCAGCCGCCTGGTTTCCAGAGCAGTTTTTTTGGTTTTTCCAGAGCAGTTTTTTTGGGTTTTTCCTTGTGAAAATGGTGGTACATGGCGATGTAGGAGTTTGGTCGTTCAAGAGGAGAGTGGAGAAGGAATCTGCAGACCTGCACAGGCTTATTTAGGGATATTTGGGGGGAACGTTCTCATTTTTTGGTATGTACTTATACGCTTTGTTGACCGATCTTTTGATAGGCTTTCTCATCATGACTTCCCACCAACCCGTTGGCTCAACTGTTCCGACAATCCCGTGAGGGGAGCCAAGCCAGATCCATGGGTCTCGACCGACCTCCGGCAACCCTGGGTCGTTCGTTCTGTGTCCCAGGCAACCTGGGCCACTTCCACTCCATTTGCGTGGCTGCCGTGGCCAGACAACTTGATAGCCGGAACCTCCATGAGGCGGACGAGAGGATGAAACGAGAGAGGAGTCACGGAGAGAGAGGACGCGGCGAGATTTCGAAGGATGAATTCATGTTGAAATTGTGAGGGGCACCGCCAAAAACAGGGGCTAAGGAGATCGCTCCCATGTGGAGGACAAGGATGGAAACGGATATTTTTTGAGGGGCTATTTTCCACTTCCATGGGTGTATAGGGACGAGGATGCACCTTGGATCACCTTGGAATAGTCATGCGGCAGCTGCGACCGCACCATGCCAACATGTTTTGAGACTTGTTGGTGCGCGTAGCCCGAGGTCGGCCTGGTTCATGGACACCCCTTACAACTTATAACTTATATAATCCCTTAAACCCTTAGCCTTCTTTTGGGCTATATGAGTTGCCGTAAGGCTCAGCCCTCAAATGGGAAGGGTTTGGTTCGGGTCCGGACCCCGTTTTGGTGTCGTGGCCCTCCTTCGAGGAGCCCACACGTCCCAGCTGCGTGGCCCGCTGCGTGGCCCGGCCGCCAGGTGCACTCGGTCTTTTGCAACCTCGATCGGAACGGCGACGGGGTGCTGACCTTAGAAGAGGCGACCCGGAAGGGGCTGAGACTCCCGAGCGAGCGAAGGGAGCGGAGGAAGGAGCGTTGGGGTGGAGCTAGAGAGAGGTTGGAGAGGTGGGACGGCATGCATCAGACTCTGGAAGATATGTCAACTCCCCAAGCCTGAAAAGGTGTTTAAATTGTTACAATCCATGTTTGGGGTAGTAATGTAGAATCAGGATTCTACATTAACCACCCGGTACAGTGCACTATTGTAGTGGTTACTTTGTACAGTCATTGCATGCGAGTATTTGGAACTTACGTATAGGGGACATGCCATGAGTTTGTTTCCTTCAATATGGATTATCATTAATGCCGTGAACTTCATATTCGATCCGTCTAAATGTGGCTATCCTGCGTCCGTAGGCGTTGATGAAGACATATGAAGACCAACCCCCAAACACAAGCTGCAGAATTGGTGTCCGCCTTTCGCCATTCCAACCATGTTCCTTCTGGCCTGCTTCCTCTTGCCATGCTGAGGGCTCCGTGGCCGGGTGGTGATGATGTTGCGAGCGAGTCACCGAGTCCTGACCCGCTGGTATTTGCTTATAGTAGCAAAAAGCTAGTAGTAACAAGTGCCACGCTAGTAGTAACAAGTGCCTTACTAGTAGTAAAAAAAAGCTATTAGAATTAAGTTAAATCCAAATTAATAGCTTCTTGTTACTACTACCAGGGATCACAAGACGGGGTGGTGTGGCTCGTCCCATCCAGTGAGTGGATGTGACAGGGGCACCTCGACTTCCTCCGTTCGTTCGGCACCCCGTCTTGTGACTGCAGGTAGTAGCTTCTTGTTGCTAGACCTATTGAGGTGATCCTGACGGATCCTAAGGGACTCCCAAATAGTGATCCTTTTGGTCCGATGAGCAGATTCTTCTGAGCCGATGTTGGAGAAGTCTACTCCGCCTTTTCTAGATATCAAGACGCCTGTCCCCGTTCCAGAGAAAAGACGCTCTACAAATGAGGTGCCTCCCACCAAAATGAGTCAAGTTGCTAGAATATAGAAGAACTTCCACACGTCTTGCAAGTGGGTTGTTTTGCTTTGCTAGCGTATCTAGGCGCTTCTGGAAGCACTCCCGACGGTCCCTTGGTGTAGCGGCACCAAGGGGGTTCCCAGAAGTGTCCCAAAGCGTCCCATACACTTTGAGCAATGGCCTCTAAGAGCCATGGCCTCCACCCTAGTAGCGATCCCCCACCACCAAAAGAGGGTCACTGCCACACTTGTGTAGCCCCCCCTGGTCTTGCTGGGAGGAGAAAACCTCGTCCTTGGCTCCCAAGCGAGAGCCCTGCAGGTCAAAGAGGGCTTCTCTGCCATCTTCTTGCCGAACAGTCAGGAGATGCGGGACCTGGAGAAGATTCACAGCTCAATTTGGCCTGATGGTTCAATACCCTGGAGAAGAAAAGGCCCTCACAAGGGCCCAATCATTCCAATACCCTGGAGAAGATGGCCAGTCAGGAGATGGTTTTCTCTTCGATGGGCCCAATCAATTGGGCCGTTTTCTGAGGTTTGAGGGAACTTGCCGGTGACTTGAGCAGGAGCACTGCCTGAAACTAGCATGGATCCACTAAAAAGCCTCGGAAGTTGAGCCAAGATGTGCCAAGAGCCTGTGTTGATGTCTTTGTCGGGTATTAAAACTTCGTTATTTAAAGCATGTTTGCCTTCGCTCTTACTGAAGTAGGCCACGTACTTAGTAGCGGAGAGGGCCAGTAGCTGTTACTAGCTACGGGACGCAGAATCAGCTAAGGATTTTCTCGACGTTGGACATGGATGGCTCAGGCTCCGCGCAGCGCGATGCCGCCCGTCCCCGCCGAACCTCGACATGTAAAGAGCATAAAGGAATATAGTAGCACCACCCAAAGGGTGGTTATTAGATGGAAAATACATCTTCAGGGGGTCTATCCTTTGGGTGGTGCTGGTATTACATAATCGTCCGGCCGAATCCGTTTCCAGGAGGTTGGTGTCAGGCAGTCGAAGACATGCCACAATTCACGTCCTGCATACCATCCCACACGATCCCGGACCCCCCTAATCACTCCCTTGTGTCCATTGATGGAAGCATAATGAAGCACACTGGGGGGATGTCCAGCTGCCTCATTTCGATGTGTCCTTGGCTGTTTGGGAATGAAAAGAATGGTGATTGAAGACAGCTTTTCTGTAAGATAATTAGCTTTTTTGTCATGGGAAGAACTGAGGTACTCAAGCATGTCGAAACGATGGAAGTGGTGATTAGTTTGGGGTAAAGAAGCAAGGCATTGGGCTTGCCTAGAACCATAGCTCAAGGCTCAAGTCATGTTCACTTGTGGAAGGTTGCAGAAGTAGTACGTTGGTTCCTGCAATGGTTGAGCACTGTAGAGGGCAGAGGAGCGTCGCCAATCCAATGCCTATAATAGAATTGATAATACAAGACGCCATGGAATGCCATGGAAAGAGAGAGAGAGAGAGAGAGCGAGCGCACTGCCCACTTGACCCACAGTAAAGAAGCCTACCAGAACTTCTTCAGCTTTGGCTCCATCTACCCCTGCCCCCTTCTCAACATCACACCAAAAGATCCAAACCAACAATCCCACGGGACGTTCTCTCTGCGTCGTGCCTCACCTCGCGCCCGTCCGCGTCCGCTCTCGTACGGTGCCAGGCTGCATCGACTACACCGAGTTCTGCGCCGCGGGCGTGGGCGAACGCGTCTTCCTCGAGGCCCCGGTTCTGAGCCGAACCCCGAGCGCGCGGATGTGCGGATGCGCAGGGGGGACGGGTCGGGCGTTGACGAAACGCGGTGAGACTCCGGGGGAAAAAGGCGCAAGAAATGGATGGGCTAGATTCACCAAGGACTGCCAGTCATGTAGGACATCTACTTCAAGGTGTAGGAAGTTCATCTAATATAGCGCAGCACCACCCATTGGATGGCAAGCACATGGTTTTAGGGCGGTCCATAAACCATTCTTAGGGTGGTGCTACAGTGCTTAAGATGTTTTTTTGATTTGAATCCTAGTTCTTGGGAGCTAAAGGCTTACTTGGCACTTGGTGAGTGTCATTCTTCCACCCATTCCGCGCTTCCCATCCGCCCATCCGCCCTGCCTCCACCGAAAAAAGAACCGCAGGAGTCGGCGCTGTGGGGCGCCTTCGACGCCTTTGACGCGGGGCAACACGACGGGCAGATCACCTTGGTTGTGCCACGGCCACGTTCGGGTGGGGAGTACCTTCTCAAGAAGGTCCTTACTTGGACCTACAAAGGTGTGTCCAATGGAGATTCCTAGGTAGTGTAGGGGCTTCCAGCCAGGTGACTTGGTAGACCCTCCAAACTTACACAGCATTGTTGCCAATCACCGTACCTGAGAAGCTGCGACTGGATCCCTACACCTTTTCATTGGCCCCGCGGAAGAAGGGAACCCTGCACTTCCTGCTGGGGTTGCGGAATCGGTCCACTGAGGAGATCAAGACGGTGCTCTCCAACGCTGACGTGAAGATGCTCAGATGATCTGGGGGCCTGGAGACGTCAGGTCGTGTCACTGCCTGAAGATGACTTCTCCAACTGAAGATCGTCGGACGTTTCAAGGTTCTTCCACCGTTCTTACGCCGCTGCTCCGCATGGTACGGTTCCACTGGAAGGACCGTCAATCTCTCTATTCTTCGGACGTGGTTCCGTTCGAAGATCCAAGCTTTCGGACACCCACCTGTTCTATCCAGTCCCAGTTCTCACCCCCTTTCGTCCCGTCCGTTTGGTCGTGTCTCCGGTTTGGTAAAGCCTGGTCGAGTGCCTTGGTCCCTGGCTCGAGGAAAGTGTGGTCCAAAGATGTCCTGGATGATGCGGCCAAGAAGGCGGACCTCACACGGCCGGCACGGGCGGTGGAGGGGGGCGACACGGGTGTTTGAAGGCGGAAAACGGCCTTTTCCAGGAGGAAAACCCGGGGGCTCTAACAACAAGGGGCGCTCTGAGTTTGCTCCCGCCCGTGAGGCACTTAGCAAGTTTGACAAGAACGGAGATGGGAGTATCACCTTTGAAGAGTTCTGCCACTGAGCTGCGGGGCGGGCAGGAGAGCTGCTGTGTTGTCCCACGTTCGTCCTGTTGGAAACGGCGGTCACGTTCGTCCTGTAGGGGAGACTGCGAGACTGCGGATGTGCCAAAGGTCCATTGCCGCGTTAATTTCCAAGAGGGTTCTCACTCTCTCCTTTTGTTTGATTGAAAATGTGGAACAGTTCCAGTCTAGTTCCAAGCAAGACATGGTGCCGTTTCACACTCAAAGATCTTGAAAGGGTGTTGTTCTATATATCCCAGTTCCACCCCACATGTGCACAAGAAGCCTTTGGCCTTTGACTCACTAGTACTCACTAGGCATTCTTGAAAACATGCACTTTCCTGGCTGGACTGCCCTGTGCTACTATCCGGGGTATGAGAAGGGTCCAGGTATGTTGAATCATGATTGAAACCTTTATTTCACATGGCGGGTCCAGTAATTATGTGGTGCAAATGGAAGGATCTCCAGGTCCAGCACACTGTCGTCGCTTGGGTCTTCGGTGCCGACCCAGGCGAGTTGATGCGCAGCCACACCACCGCACGGCGCCAGGCCCGCGCGGAAATCGCCTGCAGCCGCTGGGATCGCGACGACCCCCGCGAGGATCGGCGTAGGGGCGGCGTGCGGAGGAGCTGCGGGTGGATGAAAAAGGTGGAGGTGATGCAGAGTGAGCGTGGAAGTGGTCTACCTCGCTGTCGGTCCAAAATCCAAGGCACAGTGGGAAACGGAGAAGTGTTTTCTCAACGAAGGGGTGTGAGAGTGAAACAGTGAGGTGGATCAGTGGGTGGTCGAATCTCTCATGAGTTTCCCAGCGCAAGTCTACCAGCCCAAGGTCTCCTGGCTGGACTGCCCTACACTACCTGTGGATCTTCCTTGAGCATCTTTTGAACGTCTAGCATTTCTTTAAATGTCTTGAATCATAATTGAAATAGTTATACCAGCACCTTCAAAGGGGTCACCTGGCTGGAAGCCCCTACCTAGGGATCTCCATTGGACACTTGGACACCCTGTTGAAGGTCCAGGTATTGAAATAGATTGAAATACCCTAGAGCTCCAGTCGTACCTCCTCAGGTTCGGTATGACTGGACCCTCCTGGCACCCACCCCAGTCCCACCTTCTTAGAAGGTACGACTGGAGCCCTAGGGATAGTCATTATGCATACAATATTGTGTTGATGTCAGTTACATGTTCTGAGGCACTGGGCTCGTGAGCGAAGAGATCACGAAGCTCGAAGAGCAGATCGTAAAGGAGACAAAGGCCAACACCATGTGCCTTGGATTGCCTTCATCTTGCTACTTTATTCTCCCAGAAATGCCCATGAACATGTCATTTAGGCTTGGCTTTCATCAGTAGGACTGAGATGGGGAGATTGTGGCCAGTGGGAGTTGGCTTAGAGATGTTTCATCCCGCTATTCCGCAGCAACTCTGGCAAAGAATCTCCGTGAAAAAGCATCCTCCATGCCCGGCTCTTGACGGGTTTGCCGAGGAAAGACTTTGTCCGGACCTACAGCATGGCCACTCGGCGCGCAGACGCGACACCATGTACGGAATAGTTATATATGGCGTTTGGGCTCGAGACAGATCAATATTCCATGTTTCCCCACCTGCCAGGTGAGGGTTGTTAGATTTTATCAGAGATGGCCTTCTCTCCCTTCTCCTTCTCCTTTGCCGGACCTAAACTGCAAGTGGTGGATCGCAGTGGGCACCCCAGACCTCAACTGCCGCTCGAGCGCAGTGGGCACCGAATGCCAGGATGTATGCCCAGTAGAATGTCATATAATGTCAATGTCATATTTTTGGCAAGAAAGAAGGTCAGAATTTGTGCCAGATAGAATGCCAGAGCCAGAGTATACGCCAGATAGAATGCAAGTATGTGCCAGAAAAAATGTCAACATTTATCACGAAAGGTAGCTTGAGCTACCTGAGTTCTCCTTGCTTTAGCAAAAATGTATTACAATCTGGAGTTGGGATTGTGCATTGAGTTTGGTCCTGTAAGTAATGATTCTGTTTGTGGGAGGGGAGGGTCACATCCATCCACCTTTGACGCCGTCATGGACTTCTACCAGGGTTACTTGTGATTGCCTGCTACCTTTCGTTCACCCCTCCTCTCTCAAGTTCCAGATACAATGCCAGGGCATATGCCAGAATGCCAGAGTATATATGCCACCCAATGGAATGCCGGCATGTATGCCACATAGAGACCAGCATTTAGGCCAGATTGCCAGGTTTTATGCCAAAGAGAATGCCAGAATATGTGGCAAAGAGAATGCCAGATGTTTGCAATTCGGGATGCATGGATGTATGGCAGATAATGCGAGATAGAATGCCGGCAGTTATGCCAGATAGAACGTCAGAACCAAGTGCCAGAATATGTGCGAGAAAAGATATCAGAGTATATGCCAGAATAAATGCCTGATAGAATGTAGGTGCCAGTCAGACTGCCAGAGTATATGCCAGAATATGCCAGATTTAATGCAAATACATGCCAGATAGAATGCCAGGATATATTTGCAAGATGGACACTTTCTTTGATGGCAGATCAAATGTCGCAGGACTGAAGTCGGACCATATGTGACAGCACATGTCAGACTTGCAGGAAACATGTCAGAACACGTGCCAGCCTGGCAAGGACGTCCGAACGCAGCCCAGAACATTTCCCAGCCCTTGTGGTAGCTGATGTGTCAGAGCACAATCCAGACCTGATGCCAGAACAGGCATCAGAACATTGTGTCAATCCGCACATCCGCCTTTGTCACACCAGTCAATACACTGGTGTTTCTTAACACTGGTTTTGCACCTGGCACCCTTGATTCTGCCAGAAACGTGCCAAAGAAACCAAAGGCACCGTTTCATGCCTTTTCAGGTGCAGCAGATGCAAGAGGAGCCGACAGGGAGGCATCGCTTGGCCGCTTCGGCGCCGGCAGAGGGGTCCATTTCGCGACTTCTGGGTTCGAGCGGGAAGAGCATCGAGCACTTCTGGACTGTTATACTGTAGATCATTTGGAGGCCTAAAGATCCCTTTCCACTAGCAGAAAGAGAAGGGAAAGAGTCAAAGAGTGTGCTCGTAAACTTTCTTCCGATCGAGATTTCGACCACAACCCCTGTCCAGGAGCACCACAGCCACAGGAAGGGTTCCCGATGCGTGCCATGTTTTGGCCGCTCCGGCGTTGCGGAGCCTGGCTCTTAACAGTATCCCGCCGTCGTGCCGCTCGACAGCAAAGGGTTTTCGGGTGGAGAAAGTTGAGCCCGGAAGACGACCCCAATGATTATAGCTGGGAGTCTAGATTGCGATATATATAGCAACGATGGTCCCATGCTTGCGATGGTTCTATTGCAAGGGCGCTTTAATTTCAGGCAACTCGGTGATTTCGCGTTACTGTATCCAAAGGATGCTCAACATTTGCAGCTGAGCGAGTGGAACAAATGGGAAGAAACAGTCGTGACATCCGATGACCTGATCGTTAAGCCTCGGAGTTCAAGCAGCAAACGCCTTTCAGCAACCTTGTCACTCATCCAGTCCATCCCATTCATGGATCCTCGTGATGGCTTACCCCTACACCTCCTGGCCTACCCCCTGAGAAGATTGTTTGGGTGGGTGCCAGGGGGTCTAACGTGGTCTAAACATGTCTAAACACCTTTCGAGGATATGGGCCAGGAGCCCCAGGGAACTCACCCAATAATTGACCAGCACAAAAAGGTATATCCAACATGCACCATGGTTATTTTGTTGCCCCCCAAAAAACGAACAACAACAACAACAACACTTCCGCACGGCCAAGGCTCTTAACCGTGAAAGTGAAATCATGCTGAGTGAAGTCACGCCGTTCTGTAGAGTTGATGTCCGGACCACTCTTGCTGCAATCCTTGCAGAGCCATGCGAGACGAAGCTTATGTTTGTCTCGCACGGCTGATGGAAAGCTTTCTCAAAGTTAGGGTTTTGTGTTTCTCGAACTTGAAGCCAGCATGGAAACACAATGAGACATCTATGCCGTAGTGTTGGCAATAGCACACCAACCGAAGGATGCGAAGGCAAACGATTCCAGAAATCTGGATTCCGCTGGTGCCCAAACCGCTCAAAAAATCGTTCATATTTTGGGATGATGAGGCATGGAGAGACCATTTTACATGCAGTGTCTTCGTGCTTCGATCCAGTTCCAGCACAGTCGTGCAATGGAAAACCACCGTTAGTTTGCAAAGCCTCAAGTCCACCAAGTCAAACGAAGGCTGTGGGAGGCAATGATACCCTTTTTCGGCTCATAGAGATCTTTTAAGTTCCACCGATGCCCACCCTTTCGATCAGTGTCCCCCCACGTCGACGCTACGGAGACCCACGCGAAAGAGAGAGCTTCCCGCTGTGCTGCTTCAGAAGGTTCCAGCACAGCAACTCAGGGGCCGCCCAGCCCGACTCGCCCGGCGGAAGGAGGGGGTTCCGGGCTCCCCCCAGATGGGCTGTCGGCGGTGTGAAGCAGCGGCAACTGAGGTTGGGAGATTGGGAAGGTGGCGGATTTTCTCCCTCACCCCTGTTGGATTTGGGAGAGGCGGGCGGCTTTTGCAAACGAACCACTCGAACTTCCCCAAGCAATCCAACTCATCCTACTCTAGCAGAATAAGTAGTATGTGCATGCCATCATCCATCCATGTTGAATTTGTTGCCCTCCGACTCATTAACATGGAAGTGGAACCCCCCTCTGTTTGTAGAGGACAGTCGTCAGCTGTCTTCCAGTGGCCATTTCCCCTTTCCATGTGTCGGAGGCCAATCGAAACAAGGTCTGCCCAGGCAGATGATGACCTGAAAGACCACCCAATCCTCAAGCCGAGCGAAGGTGTCCCAAACCAAGCATTGCCCAGTCCGCAGTTTGCAACTGCCTGCTCCTTCGCTTGCAACCAGTTCTTACAGGACCCTCCAACGTGATCCAACGTGCACGTATTTGGACCGTGGCGGTTTTGGGGTACCTTTGAGCACTGGAAGCACTTGTTGGGACCGACCTAGGGCCAGACAGACTCATGAGGGTCGAATTGATCGTTCCATGTGCCTTTCTTCCCCGCCTCGACCGATTCAGAGGGCCCCAGTCTCTCCAAATTCGTTTCAGGAATCCGTTCGATCCGAGCTCGGGGCGATCTGTCCTGGAGCCACCTGCGACGGGCGACGGCCTTATTTGGACTAATGTGACACCCGTGCTCCGGGCGAGCATGCGCCCAGCGGTTCGTCACAGAAACTGTTCAAGCCGGCAGGCTGGTTCATGCACCCCAGGGATCCAGTCGTAGCTTCTCAGGTATGACTGGATTTGTTAGGGGCAGATACTTGGAATTGTTTGCACCCCTCGGGATGCATTCCGAAGGTTTTTTTTAGGATTTGGTCGCAGAAGTATGCAGAAGTATAGAGGCTGAGTGCCACCTGGCTTTACAAGTCCGCTAAGGGGAAACAGAAGACGCTCAAGGAAGCAAGGGCACTGAGGGATTTGTGGTTGACAGGTTTTTGCCAAGCTTGTTCTGCCCCAAGCGTGTAGAGCACAAGATCATACACCTGGAAGTCAAGTAAAACCAACCCCAGATTATCCATCGGTTCGTGTAGCTGTTGCGCAAGCGGTATATCTATGTGAACCTAAGAATCCGGGCCCTCCATGGCAGCGGTCGGACCCTCCATAGCAGGGGTCCGGACCCGAACCAAACCCTTCTCATTGGTGCGGGCCTGGATTATTAAGGGATTATGTTGGTTCTAATTGGTTCTATTTTATTGTATAGTCCATGTTCTCAGGCTTTTGGCTTGTTCCAACGGCCGCGCATGAGTTAAATGACATGTCGAGTCCGTGTTCAGGTCCACTCACCAATGGCGTCCTCCCAAGTGCGTGCGCTCCTCATGGATCATGGCGTGCCAGTGTCCAGTGTCCGATTTTATACAGATGGAGGGACCGGTGAGCAATGGTGAGCAGAACTGACTCCAATGACGGTTCGTTGTTCGTTGTTCGTTTTTTTTTCTGAAGGGACGAAACGCACAAAAGGAGCTTCTCTTGTGTTCTCAGTGGGCACAGGCCGTTGTTTGTGTTTCATGTGTGTCCGAAAAAATGCTTCTCCAACTGAACCATGTGCGTTCGATCAAGTTATGACAGGCCTCCACTTCCTATTTCCACGGGCCCCTCGCTTAGTGACACCCCTGTGCCCGCCGCACCGGATCTAAAAACCTGCGAGCGGCCGCTGGGTGTGGAGGGTGTGCAGGTCTGGAGGTCCCCCCCCCGTGACATCGGGGTGTCTACTCGAGGTGAATCCAGGCACGGGGGCTTTGGTACGGAGGGGTTTTCAAGGAATTTTCTTTGGAAGGTGATACGTTCGACATTTTGATGTAGGCGAGTTGTGAGGGTCCAGTCGTCTTCTGAGAAGGTGGCAGTGGATCTACAGTGAGTCAGTCGTACCTTTGAGAAAGCCCAGGTCAGAGCTGCCAATTGCAAGTTCTCCTCTTTCTTTGGGTGAAGACAGTGCAACTGGCAACCTGAGCAAGTCCCATACTGTATGTCCTGTCAAACATCGGATTTCGCAAAAGACATTAGGCCCCCAAATCGGCCCCCATGCCCCCCACGATGCAAATCATCACTGGGTTGGGAAGACCCAATACTCGGTTTTCGGATTGGCTTTAACCAACCTCTATCAGTACACTTTGGGGCCAACGCCTTCACTTCGTTCACTTCGCTCCAGCTCCACAGTCACCTCACGGCCTGGGGTGTTCTGAGAACTCAACCACCGCAGCAAAGGAAGATCCCAGTGGGTGTGGGTTGCGCAACGAGCACCGCCCCGCTGTACAGCCATGGTGACAGCCGCCCCCACGCTGATGGAATCTCTCAAGCATTCGTCCACGGCAAAGACCGCGACTTGGAAGGGATGAAGAGGGCCATGTAATATCATGTAATTAACATAGACAACTTTCCCTTTGAATCTTTAAAGTTTGGTCGTGTTTGACTACTTCAATGGGACCCGACCACAGTGGTGTCTATGGGTCATTCCTGGATCTTCGAAACGGCACAAATAATTGCCTTTTCAGGAAAAAATGCCGTTACGGCGTCTTTTTCCAAAGACGGCGTTTTTTGTTGTGACGAGGCGCACGCCGGCAGAAAGCAAAAAGAAACGGCGTCTTTAAGCGTCCAAACGGCGTCTTTGGGCGTCCAAACGGCGTCTTTCCCCGTCCATGGATTTTGTACAACCCATAAAACGGCTTTTTTTTGATTACGGCGTCTTTTCACTAAAAAATGCCTCCGGCAAAAATTTGTGCCGTTTGAAGATCCAGGTTTGGCTCAAAAGTGCCTTGCAAATCCAACTTCTGAGCAAGAAGCCATACCCACAGTACCCACAGCTTATGATCCAGAAATGGATGATCTATGGATGATCTATACAAGTCTATACATATAAAATTACAGTATATATATATATATATTTGTATATCTATATACATATAACATTATACATTATACATACATGATTTATGTTTGGTTGTTGGACCCAACCATACTCAGTGAACTCTTTGTTGGCTTGGGGTGAGGAATGGGACCTGCGAGATGGACCTTTTGAAAGACCGTCAAAGACAAGCATGGCTGAAGATAAGACCGGCAAAGTACTTGAGAGGATATATTCCTACTATAGGGCTCCTGGCCCACACCTTCTGAAGGCAAACCAAGCGGTTGGACCCCCGCTGGCAACCACCCCAACCTTCTCAGGTTGGGGCGGGTGTCTCAGGAGTTAGTTGGAGCCCTAGTAGGGTCTATATACATGAACCTGTGTGACCCCTATGTTTAACCAAAATTATACATTGTTCCTCTGAACATCAACGGGGGTCATGCCTGAATTCTGCTGTAGGTGCGTATGCATATCTCATATCTCTAATATAATATCCCTGGAGCACGTTGTTCGGCACTTCCAAAACACAGCTCGGAGCTACCACTTTCGACGATCCCAAGAAGACTGCAGCAAGCTGAGACCGGACTTGGAAAGGGTTCCATGTCGATTGGGACATCGGCGGACATGGTTGGTCCAAAGAATATACCTGGCTGAGGGGAGACCACATGGTGCCTGGGTTGAAAACAATGGTTCAGGGCGCCATTCTCAGGGTGCGATGTGAGTTTTCGGGAGTGTAGTGGTAGACCTCAGTGATAGATTCATGACCACCCCCCCCACATATAAAACCGCAATTTGGAAGGTAAAACCCTCTTCAGATAGTGGTTGAAAATGAATCAGCAGTTCGGTGAGATGGCTGTGGGTCATGGCACCTTGAGCTCGCCCCGGAAGTCACGAAATACCGAGAAAAACCGTGGTGCACCCAGTTGTTTCATGGTTGTTCTGGTGCCATGAGCCAGATGGGTGAGTATTCAACTGGAATGATTTCTTAGGTCGGCAGAGAAATAGATGTGTCAACCCAGCTGGCAGGATGTTTGATCTCGAAAGAAAACAGCTCTATCTAGAGCTGCGAGCTGGAATCAAGCCTTCCCATCTCAGGAGTTCATGTGTGCAAGCACCACGGAGGGCACGACACGAGTGGTCTCCAGTGACGGATGCTTGGACTTGTTTCCACAGTGATGAAGTGGTGTTGTTCTACGAGATTGTGGGGGGAATTCCATGGAATTCCTCATCAGGGCCAGCTGGGGTACAGGTGGATGGAACCCAGATTGTAGAGGTGTTAATTCTTGAATTTGATAGTGCTGGGGCAAAATGCCCAACCTGGGGCAAAATGCCCAACCATCCCAATCTCAGAATCTGGTCAGGGGATTCCAAATCGAGGGACGTGGAATCCTAGAAGCGTGGCAACCCTAGAGCATCCAAGAAGCGTTTACAATCGAACGTAGACACCAGATGCACAAGCATTTGGTGAAAAAAAACATATGGGGACATGGCCATGGCTCAAAAATCGGATGCCCTCAAAAACCCACTCAGACAACCGAGTCCCCGGGTCTTTTCTTCTTGGGCTGCGAGCACGGAGAGTTGTTGTTGGTCGTTGAAGGTGACATCTCCCCGAACCTTGTCTCGTGGATGCGGCAGCGGACACACAAATACAGCCTCCCGGTGGGAAGGGTGATCCCCAGCCCGGAGCTGGCTGCAGGATGGCTGCAAGGAATACTACGGTAGATCATGGGAAAGTGAAGGGGGTTACCATATATTTGTATGTTATATTTACATTACACACAGACACATCATAATATGTCAGTTCCTCTTGCATTACTCCATACTCTGTGCAAGCTAAGTGTTGGTGGTTGTACCCAAGCGCGCTCAGCATGTCGGGCATGTTGCTGGAGAGCATACTGTTGAGGATCCCCTGTGCGTTACCTTGCAAAGGATCCCCTGGACGTTGATCCGGCGGGACCCGTGCAATTGAAACACCTTCTTTCATGCTGATTGGTGTGCTTAGCCTGCGTCAGTCATTTTATGTCACCGGCCACCGGCCACAGCGATGAATCGACTATCGCCGGGTGGGTGCTACTAGGTTTGCTAAACTTTGACTATTGGCTTGGATAGAGAAACCCTGGTATATGAAACCACTCTTGGACGCTTTTTACCATCGATGCCAAGATGACCGACCTTATCCAGACACGCCATGTATTCATATCCCTACATTGGCTCCTGAAACTACCCCAATGTATGCGAAGATGCCAGTCTCATGGAGTGTTTGGGCTACAGATCCTGAAAAAAGCAAAGTGACCAAGGCCAGAAAGGGCTGATTCCAGTGCGTTCAGACGACATCGCCGCGCCTTTGGATGGTGTAATCGATGGACCTTAGGAAGGGGTACAGGGCTTCGGAAGTGTTGCCGTCACCTGGAGCTCCTATGGCTTGTTGTCTCAGGACACAAATATGGGACGAAGCAACACATTTGTAGGGTATTTGGGGGCGCTTGGTCCTTTTTAATGAGTGGGTGACAGGATGGTATGATGGCTGATGTTTGCCATGGCTAGGCGCACTTTCCGAGAAGGTGGATAAGGATCTGAACCAGACGGATGGCAGATCCTGGCAAAAAGCCTCATATAAAATGGGATTTATTCAGGTCACCAGTTTTACCGTGGCCTTGGAGAAGATGATTTGTTCAAAAAACAGTGGGTGCAACACAAAGTGGGTTCGGTGGGGGTCAGAAGACCCTGCAGAGAACCTTTGCATGCGGATCCGGGGAACTTTTGGGGACCGCGAGAGCTTGGGGAGGCCAATGCCTCGAGCTCCTGAAACAACATGCTTGTGGCAATTACCCCCTGGCTGCCAGAAGTGCTATGCCTATTACCTATGACATGCTATGACGGTGCAATGATTTCTGTGGAATCAAAGAAGGCTTAATTAGGGTTCTATGGGTTCAAGTGACATGTTCCTTTGGCACTGGGATTTTGTGAAGCTATCGGCTATAGGCTATAGATGATTTACCCAAAGCCAAGTAACAAGGAACTTGACGTTCAAAACAGCACTGTAGGTGCCGCTGAGCTACCACCCAAAATGTACAACACCCTTAACAACAATTCTCACAACAATCTATTCAACAATCACCATGTGTTTTCCTTTTCCCCACCCTCCAACTCCTTGGCCGCCATTTCCCAAGTGATCCCGGTCACAGCTGAGCGGCACTGGTGCTGGCGCAGCCTCAGCTGGCACCCATGGTGCATCGTGGCCGTCCCAGGACCACTACGAGTTGGATGAGCGGCGCATTGGCAGTGGCTCCTTTGGGCACGTCTTCAGCGTGCCTGGGACGGGCGTTGGATGGCGTTCACGGCGCAAAACGAAGAGATGGAAGTGGTCATTAGCCATGACCCCGAAAGGAACACGCCATGCAATCCGAAGACCAAACAGGGGGTGATCTCTACGAGGCCAGGGAGAGTTAACTGTTGCTCAGCATGAACTGTTATTTCTTCCATAGGATTGGTGGTGAGAGGTTGGGAAGAGGAAGTCCAGCAGAGTCCATGTCGTGCCGTGGTTCGAGTCGCTTCGAGGAGCTGCTTTGGTCGCTTCCGTCGCTTTTGCTCCGAAAAGCACTCTTGGTGTGGTCAGACTCTTGCAGACGTAGTTAAAAGACCATCCATCTATATGGAAGATGATACGTTCTTACAGTCTTACATTATAGAGTAGAGTATAGTAATTATAGCCTAGCCCATTACCAGTAACAGTCGGTAAAGTATTATCACTTTTTGAGAATGGCCATTACTAATTATCAACCATCATCATCCACTGTTACCGGTAATGGGATATAGAGTCAGACGTGGGGTTGTGTTATTATATATATATACCCTAGAAGTCCAAAGACTATATTTTGACTGGCTGAAGTAAAGGAAGTTCCCTTTCAGGTCCCTTAAAGACCATTCTTTTTATAGTCTTTGACTCCCAGGGTATTGTATATATATATATATAAAACTATTCCAATATACATGGATGGTCTCGGGATCTTCAAGTAAGATGATGGTCCACATCCCATTAGGCCCTTTCTACGCCCAGCAGCCCGGCGGCGTTCCGTCTCAGGCTCGACAGAAGCAAACAGGACTCCAGGCCAGGGACCATGACATGCGGCTAATAGCTAATAATTATGCTGGCATCCCTTTAGGCATTCGTGTCCAGCTCGCTTCACTTGGCAAAGTGCAAGGTTAGTTTGGAATTCTTGCTTCCTTCCTATCATTTCCTATCAACTATCAGGACTCCCATGTGTTTTGGTCCCGCGATGCTCCGAGTAAACTTCCACCTCAGATCATGGCATTTCATTGGCAGCTCGTGGCATTTCTCCTTAACATCCAGGTCGCCAGGCCCATTCCTCCACGTCAGGTTGCCATCAAGAAAGTCTTAATCTTCGACCCCGAGCAGAAGGAACGCCTCGACACGGAGGCCTGTATCATGAAGGACCGCCGAGTGTCCGAGTTCAGCGACACACGGTGTCGGGCGCCTTCGCAGCGGGCGCCATCGCGGCGTGGGCGGCGACGGGGTCCGCATCCGGCAGCCCGCAGCCACCGGCGAGTGCGTGAGAGAGAGTGCCAAGCCGCCCGGTGCGTGAGGATTTGGACCATCCAAACATCTGCAAGTTGATGGCCACCTATGAGAAGGGCAGCATCTCGGATGATCCATTCTTGGGGGCAAAGCCAAATCCGGGGCAATGACATGCGATGTGCAACGAGCCCAGCCTGGCTGAGGTCAAGAGGTAACAACTTACTTTTTGGATGCCCAGTAGTTGGTGTTCTTTGGAGTCTTTTGTCAACCTCCACTAAACCATAAATCCGCGCCCGCGAACGCACATCGCTTTCGGGTGCGAATGCCACGAAACGTCGCGTGCTTGAGCGACATGTGGTGTTTTTCTGAGTCGATCTAAGTCGCCCGCTTTGGCCAAAAGATGGGGCCAGGTCAACGACCGAAGCTAGTCGACAACGTGAGGCTCAAAGCCGCTCGAAAAGGCAAGGCCTTCTGGACATGGACTGCGAGAAGCACGGAAGTTTCCATGTGAAGAGTTGGAGAATCCAATTGACAATGGTGGCCAAATAGATAATTAATAGGATATGATAGGAAAAAATCCAGCGCCACGCAATTCGGGTGGTTGATAGACCTCCCTGACTAATATATGCCGTCCAATCGCCATTTCAAGTTTGAACCCTGACTCAGATTTGCGTCGTTGAACTTGCTGTGTCATTCGTTTTGGTCAAGGTCCAAGTGAAGCGTTCTCGCGCGGTCTTTCGAGTGAAGATAAGTCGCATCCCACCCGAGCAGATGACCGAGGATTCATGTTCTTCGTGATGGAGTATTGCAAAGGGAAGGCCGGCCGGCCCGAGATGAGAGTGCAACTCCGAAAACCACCATTAAACGGCGACTCTGATAGACCTCCGACGGCGGTTGATGTCTTCCCAAGTTGGGGGCTCGAGACGTGGCCCGGGCCACCGTCGACTGGGCGACCGTCGACTGGTACGCCCCGCGGGTAACACCAGGGCACGGAGAAGGCACAAACGGTAAACATCCGAAAACCCACCAGGTGCGAAACCAACGGGTCACCTGGCTGGACGGGCCCCGGCCTAGGTCTCCAGGCCCAGGGCAGACAGGAAGTGCCAACATCCGACGGGTCACCTGGCGGTGAGAAGTTGCTGCAAGACCCCCGAGCGGGGGAGGGCTCTCTCAATCCTTAACAAAGCCACGCGAATTTGAGGGGCTCAGGAGCAGAGTTGGCTTAGCCATATCATCGGTGCATCAATCACCTATCTCAGAATTGTGTGAGGAAACATTTGCAGGCAACCCACAGTTTGGGATGTGAAAATCCGTGGTTTCCTGTGGATGTTTCTCTTTAACCAACCCATTTAACCTGAAGATCAGTAGAAATTTGGTGAGTCAGATCCACCAATCACGTTCAATTGGCGATGAAGTCATGGGAAGTCATTCTGGCATTTGATTGAAATGCAACGATCCTTGCCCAATCTTCTGCAGAGTTCTTTGGGACTCGGGTGTTTTGTTTTCACGTGGACACGGCAGGGCTGTAGCACTCATGGCCACTCCCTGATGCATTTGTCCTTGCCGACTCGGATGACCCTCAACTCCGAAAACCAGGAAGCTGCTTCGATTGAGTCAAGTCCCTTGAGTCGAGTCCCTTTGGAGTCCTCGACCCGCCACCGATTCCGCGCGCCGATTCTGCCGACGGCCAGGACGTTTTGGAGCGTTTGATGTCTTTGGACGAGCAGAAGTTTGGCCACTGAGACTTGGGGAATGCCCGGAGGGGCTGGGAACTCGGTGATACTCGATGGACCGGTACTACCGCGCAGATCTTCTGCCGCTGGAGGAGGTCAGTTGGTGTTTTCTTGCTTTTTTTTGACAAGTTTTAGAGTAGGAAACCCTTGCATTCCGTCAACAAACACGGGCTCTTCAATCCACTCGGCCAACTTCAATCGAACTGTATGCCGCAACAGAGGCCACCCACACGCGGAAGCATTTCTCGCTGGAAGCATGTTCCGATCATACGCGATGTCCAGGAGAGTGAGTAGTCCTTTTCAATCTCCAGGACTGTTTGAATATGGAGACTTCACGTACGCCCATTCCCCGTCTATGAATCGGCCACCACCGTCCACCCTCCAGGAGTTCGCTGCCCCGAACAGACTAACGCCACAGCCTCAGCTGACCGCTGAGGCGAACACCAAGCCGCGAAGATTGTGCACCAGACGGCGCTGGCGCTCCATTACGCACAGAAGCGCGGCATCGCACACCGAGCGCCTCGGACAGGCTCAGGATGACGGTTCGGGGGGGGTGAAACGGGGGTGAAACCCGGATGGGCGTGGAGGGGGAGGCGATAGGCAAGAATGAAAAGGAGCGGAACTCAAAGGGATGGGACATTCCACTCAGAGTGCATAGATATGCTGGATGTATTTGCAAGATGTTGCAAGCATATCAACGTGCCAATTCTTTACAATAGCCGCATAGCCTATTGCGTACCTTTTTTTCCCGGGTGACATCCGGGCTTGTCAGTTCACTGTCGACAGGACTAGCCGGTTGGGGTGCTACAATTCATTGGAAAGGACAAGAGTCACCAGTGAAGTGGAACTTTGAGGATAAGTAAGCAACTGGCCTGTACTAGTTTCGTGGTTTTACATGGTTTAACATGCAGTTCTGACCATTGAGTGCCATCAAGTTGTCAAATAATCTAAATCAAATAAAGTGGGAACCTCCGGTTTTCATTGAGTTTGCAGAACCCATTTGCATTGCTACAGTGGATGAGAATAGTTTGTCCCTCTTGGGGTGGTCAGGAGGGCCCTTGAGGTCTTTAAAGCTTTTCTAAGAGGTTTTTAAAGGCTGAACTCCCAGGTGTCCAAGTCACTGATTCCGGAATGGAAGCAAGGACACCTACACAATGGTCCGTCAAGAGAACCATCAGGCAACCGCTGCTACAGTTGACCAGCTAAGGTGTGACCAATGAACTATTCATGCGCTTTCATTAACCCCTTGTATGCTCTAGGTTCAAAAGAGGTTGATTTGGTTTTGGAGATGGCCCTCAGGACGTCAAGCCGGAGAATTTGGTGTTTGTCTCTGATGAGGAGTCCGATTCCTTTGTCAAGGCCGCTCTCCACTCCAGCATGAGCCGGAGAGGAACCCCCCCTGCTTAGGCGATAAGGTGCCGAACCGATCCCCACTTCAGCTCTATACTAGGAGTCTGGGTTGATAGAGATGAAGTGCCCCTGAAGGTCTCATGGCCTAGTTGGTGGGTGCTTGGCATGAAGTCTTTGGGGATGTTAGTGCCTCAATTTGAGGGACAATCAGGGCCAAAAAAGGACCCCATGCACAGCTCAATAGGCTTCAAGCCTGGCCCTGGGCAGACTGCTTAAAGAGACCCTTGTAGACTTAGACCTCGTGTGCTCCAGGGCGCCTTTCTTTTCCATGGAAGGCATCAAGTTTGGGTGGATTTGATATTCTTTGCTTGCTGTCAAGAGTTCGGTTTATCCCGACACCTTTCTTTCTGGGACACCTGGTCTTCTCACTGGTGAGTTAAAATTCACGAGACGCTGTCCCTTTCCATTGGTCTTTCAGGTCACCTTCTCACCAGATTTCTCGAATGTGGGGAAGTTCCTACGAAACAAGGTTTTGGATACGGGCGTCGCTGGGAGTGGTTTGTGAATTGTGTCGGGGACCAACTGCATCCAGTCCAACATGGTCCAACTAGCTTCGACAGGACGTAGTGCCCTGAAGGGCACTCCACCGCGGGTGAAACCCCAACGCAAAAGCACATTGTTGGTACACTCTGACGAACTCAACCGCAAAACGGCTGGTGACCCTCTGAACTAACATGGGAAGTGAAAAATGACGAAAAATGTGTCCCTTGGAAGACGACTTTCCTTTACAAACAGAGGGGGTGCCATCCACTTCCATGTGACGTGTTCGTCGGAAAAAAAGCGCTGCCGAAACCGCTGAAGCGGTGCAGGTGGTCGACTGGGGCCTAAGCTCCTACTGTGGAGAACGCAAGATGAGGCCAGAGCCAGCGGGCGACATTGACCTCAGATTCTGAAAATGCACCATTTTTTTCGATTCTGAAAAGGCATTCTGAAAACACTCATAGATCTTTTGTCAACCAAACATTACCAAAGCAGTGGGGTCATGGATTTGCTATGCGAATCTACTCTGCGTTTGCTTCATTATTGACTCAACGACGTGCACTCAGCGGCCCCTCAATGGCCTTGAACTCCACACGAGCGCAACAGGGCACGGATGGAGCGTGGGAAGTGGGTTCTCCCGAGCGAACGTAGACTGTTGATTCCCAACCCCACTGGAGTCCTGAGAGGTTTCACAGGGGGATTGATTGATCATGTATAAAAAGTCTATATATAGACACCATTAAACACCCATAGATAGAAAAGTAGATCCCCACTAGAAATGTATTGCAAGTTTTGTACCCCAGTTTGACCAGGTCAGCGGTGGGCTCCTACGTCTACTGTGCCCCTGAGATCCTCGCGAAGAAGCTGTTGCTTGACACGGTTTCCTTCAGTTGGGGTTTTCGACATAGGAAAGCATTTAAACCAGAAATGCTTGGAACATGAACCCTGATGACCTGATGTTGTTTGCTAACTTCAGTTCCAGGCCTGATTGCACAAGTTGAATTAATGCACATGCGTTCGCAGGTGATGGGAGTAAATCGATGTTGCTTCTGACGACCCGGCGGGTGTTCGTCAGCCCGGCCACCGGCCGCCCCGGCCGGAACTCTAGGGCTCTAGGGAATTCCCCGCCCCCTTCCAGGGCTAGCCGCTCAACCAGCCGGGCCGAACTTCTTGAGGTCTAGAAATTCCAAGAGCTACACAGCATCCTGCGACCTGTGTCTGGGCGTGTTTTGTTTGGGGCAGACTTTGGAACCAGCTTCTGAATGGAGGATGAGCTGCTATTTACAAGTTGACCAGGTGTGTTGACGGAGTTGTTTGGGCTATTCTGGGATCTTCGTCCTCCTCCATGTTGGTTGCCTCCTCCTCCGTGTCGATAAAGAAGAAAGATTGACGCCCGCCCATGCGACCCCGCTCTGAATCAATGTTAAACTCCCAGACACGACCTGTTTGGGACTGCCATATTTGGCCTTCAAAAAGGCCAGGGGTGGTTGATTTCAGGGGTGAAAGGGGTGGTGTGTTTGGGACTGTAACTCGCCGAATGTTTGTGAAGGCAAGTGGCGAAGGGTCGCGAAGCCTGGGAAGCGTAGGCTTTGGATTTCACACACGCGAAGCCAATCCGCGAAGCCTTTGGTGTCGCCCGAAGTGTCGCGAAGCCACCCTTACCACAATGCGAAACCCTCAGAGTAGGCTATTTAACAGTGAAGTGTGTATAGGCACTTTACCATCTTTACCGTATTACTTTAAATAACATGGCTCATGTGACAGGGAACCGCCTCAATTTGCCCCCCAACAACACAAATCACCTGACCCAAATCCGGATTCTGCTGATCTTAGTAGAACCTTTTCCTCATACTTTTCTTCCGACCCCATGAGCCCAGCGCACAGCTTGGGCCTCTGCCCAGTCCTCGAGCCCAGCAGACTCCGCTCCAGGTGGAGTCTGGGGATCCTCATCTACGTCCTGCTCTGCGGGCACCCGCCCTTCCGCGGCGATGCCACGCAGCTTCTCAAGATGGCCAAGGAGGCCAGGGCCGGTGTGCACCGGACACGGCTACGCGGATGACCGGCACCGGCAACGACGCAGTCGCTCTGGCTGTGGGAAAGTAGATCAGAACGTGGAGAGGGCTAGAGAGGTCCGGTGAGTCGACCTGGCTTTTTGCCTGTCTGTAGCTTCTTGATGACCCCTTTTCTGTTTTGTACATGCTTGTTTCATGTAAAAACCTGTAAGTCACTGGTAGTGGAGCTGCCAGAAGAACCTTGACTAGAAGTACGTTGTGCATAGTATTGAGCATGAAACAATAAATTCATTGGTGGTGCGTCCAGCGTACTTTCACCAGGCAGGTGATCAGTTCTTTCTTTGATGTTGCATGTGGCTTTTGCTATGCTGGCACTTGACTCCATTCCACGGCTGAGGGCGAGGGAGCAGATCCAATACTAGGAATTATAATACATACATACATATATATATATATAGAAATATGTGAGTTATATTTACCTAGATTGGGGTGCTTTGAGCGGTCAATGTGGCTAATGGATGCTAATCTATAATGGTATGGATTCCACCCATGGATAGTTTCTGGGGGATGCTTTTACTAGCTGGTGCGTACTCCTCCAATCCTTCCAAAGCCTAGACTAGACCGGTCAAAAACAGTCGCCCATTCGTGACTCCCCAAGAGAGACCCTGTCCACTTTAGTCGTCGCGGGAGACAAGCTCGCCACGTCTTGGCCAAGGAGAAGCTCATCCCTCAGGACGACATTTGGAAAGCCTTGTCGAGGGAAGCGAAGCATCTCATCCAAGGCACGCCGAGCGAGCGGACGGCGGAGCGAGCGAATTGCGCGTGGAGAGATATATGCGCGCTGCGGAGAGTTCCGCGCCGGAGAGTTGGCAGGAGTGGGCCGATTTCGGCGCGAGTCATTGGTGGGTAGCAGGTTTGCACTTGGGATTGGATGTGATTACAGACTGATTCCCTGGTTCTTCAAAGTGACCGAACTTGATAACCTGGTTGGTGAGGTCACTTAACTAAGCCTCCTATACGGGTCACTTAGGAACCTTCAAAAGGTCACGTATTGAAGAAGCTGGTCCTTTAAAATCAAGCAACCAAAAATACGCACGACACACCTGTTGGACCATGGACACCACCAAGCTCCCCAACCGGCCAACTGGATCTCAACGCATCGACAGGTCTCCTCAGAGTGAAGCCAGAGAAGCGATTGAAGTTCGAAGAGGCGGCGGAAGTCGTCGCGCTCGGCCGACGTCCCGGTGTTTCTGGCCACAAAAAAATGCCAGAACCCAGACACGACCTGTTTGGGACTGGCCTTCAAAAAGTCCAGTGGTGGTTGATTTCAGGGGTGAATGGGGGGGTACAAGTGGTTGACATTATATGCCAATCTCCTGGAGTGTTTGGGGCAGTGACAATTGCAAAGGGCTGATATGTATATAATTTGTTTTTTTCCTCTACCTGGACCCTCCAACAGGTGTTTCCTGGTGACAATAGGTGTCCAGAAACCACCTGTTAGGTTTCAAAAACCCGCCTGTTGGAAGGTCCTGGTATACCTATGTCGATATCCCATTTCAACCACCCCTGGCCTGATCGGTCTTTAATCGGCGTGGAATGGAGGCAAGTGACCTGAAGTTCCGATTCCATCACTACCCACATCGTTTGTGCAGTTCCACTTGCTTCGAATTCTCGCTTCGCCCACATCGTTGGTGTCACGCCGGTTGCGCCACGGCACAGGTCCTGAAGCATCCATGGTTTCAGCTGCAGAAGCTCGGCAGAACTCAATGGACTTTCCGGGACAGCAGCGAGTGGTTTTTTGCTTGAATGGTTGCAGCATTGTTGCGGCGTAGACGACCAAATTCCGGGTGTTGTTACAGGTCTTGCAAGGGCTAGGGAATAGACTGTGTTGGGGAAAGGAACTGGGTCAAGCAAAGGCCTGCAGAGCACCTAAAGTGGTTCAGTTAAGGGGTTTGGGGCCAAACAGAAGACAATTGGTGAATGAAAAGACAGAGGTGAGGTACTTTCACCGGGACTCAAGTGCCGGGTCAGACTCATGTGAAAGGTTACCCACCTTGGTGACCAGGGCTTGCTGCGGTCCAAGCCGTCATGTCTAGATTTGGACCGTGGGGTTGGGTACCGCGTTCCTGGGTTTTCTTGCATGCATATATGGGTGTGTCCGAACTTACCTGTAACAGCCAGTCAACAAGAACATCACTATTTTTGAACAAGGCCTGCAACTGAACCATCATCATCCACTGTTACTGGTCATGGGATAGTCGGATAGACCCAATATATTAATATATTCATATGAATTGACAGTGGGTCAAGTTTCCCGTACTGGTGAATGAGTCTGTAAAAATAACAATCACAGACCATTACCCTATGCTGGGGCCTCCCAAAGATTTCAGCTTCCACCAATTTGAGTTCCCCAAATGGACGGAGTGACACACCTTGCTTGGAGAGCTGAAGTGCCTGTAACTTGTTTATTCAGATTGCACGTTTGATCGCATAGAACCTCAGAATTTACATGCCAGGAGATCCTGCTCGGTAAGGTTGGCGAACCAAACATGTGAAAGATGTCCACCCCATGTCGTCCCGGGTCCCGTTCCATCATCGCTCCTTGGATCTCGGAATGTTTGTCTAAAGTGAAGGCCTTTTTGAGGTTAGGTACTTTCAACCCACGATGCTTTATTTATGGTTGTCTATCTCTTTAGGATGTGTAGCCCTAAACCTCCAGTCGTACCCTAGAGGGTCCAGTCATACCGAACCTGAGGAGGTACGACTGGAGCCCTAGGGTAGTTCCGGTGGTTCAACCCACTCCAAGTGGCCATGTTTCACCCCGAAAGTTCCCCCATCAAGTTGACCCTCGGTCCATGCGCCTCCATGCGGTCTGTGGTCGCTCGCGCGCGCACCCGTCGTCGCCGAGGCACACGGTAGCTGTTCCGGTCTCTGCGCCTCGGAGGAGCTGAAGAGCAGAGATGGGCCAAGTCGAGGGTGATCATCATTTCCCTATAGGGATCCGTGTTCGTAGCGAACCTGAACTGGACCCGACAATGGCACCTACATGTCGAACACATCACCGTACCTGAGGTTCGGTACGAAAACGGATCCTTAGGGATTGAAGTCATGGCCCACAGAGATGGCGCCAAGAGCGATGGCAGAGTTTTTGCTGGAGGTGGATCCGGCGGGATGCGTGCGATTTGAAACACCTTCTTGCATGCTGATTGGTGTGCTAAGGGTGGGTGCCCGAGAGAGGTTCAGTGAGCGTAAATAGGGCCCGTAGCCTGAGGTACCAGACTGGGATAGTCTATAGAGGCCCTCAACCTCTGTTGGTAGGCCCTGATTTGTTGAGGTTTGTGGTGTTTTTTCTCGCCCCAGAAGAGGGAGGTGAAGATGGTGTGAACATGGGGTGTGGAACAAGTCTCACCGTGATGCTGGATGGTCCTGGTATGCTTGCCTTCCCACAGTTGATGCACACCACTTGCTTTTCTTTCAAAGTCCACCATCCACAATGCCTGATTCTTGAGTCAAACATAGAGCTCCCTTTCTTCCAACAGAGCTTGAAGGATTCTCCCAGTCTGGTACCCCAGGTTTTTCCGGGTCCTTTCTCAGGTCACTGGCTACCTCTCTTGCTTCAGCTGAGGTGAGCCAGAATATCCTGCGGAACATGCGACACTTGGACCCGGTCCGACCGCGGGACGGCAGACCACCCGGGGCGACACGCGGAACGCGGGCCGCCCAAAGCGGCCGTCGCCGTGGAAGTCCAACTTGGATGAACAAGTGGGTTGGTTCTCAGTGTCAAGTGGGTGTTGGTTCTTCCCCAAACTGATGGTCTCTACACCGGAAGTTCCGAATGAATGAGCGCCGAATGAGTGGGTGCAACATGGTGCAACTGTCCCATCGAAGCCATCGTATTCTGATGTGAGCGCCAGGCAGTGCAGAACATCCAAAAGGATCAGAATCACACTGACACCTATGGTACGTGTGGTGTTTTTGGAGCCATCCAATGATCAACCAGACATGCCTATCCAGGCACTGGGGGAAAAGAGCCTCACAAAAATTAAGCGCCGCCCTGGCGGCAACTTGTATGTATTCTCAGGCGCCATATACTGTGCCTTTGCAACAAGCATGGAAGTGGATAGCCCCCTGTGTGTTGCAAGATGTTGCAAGGAGGGTATTTGATATTTGATATGATACTTGATGATCTTCCAGGGCAATGTGTTTTCTTTGTTTGCCTACAAAAGCAGGGGTGCGTGTCGCCAGTTGCTTGGCCCGGAGGGTGTCTTAAAGTGTTTTGTGTTTCAATAAGTCTGTCTGTGCCAAGAAGCGTCGGGCTGAAGGTAACTTTTGCCACTTGTCCCACTTCTTTGGCTTTTGCGTTCTTGCTGCCGCGCGGCAGCTGGATGCTAAGAGCACCTTGGACACAAGTGGCAGCTTCGATGGGATCCTCGCATGGTGGCAGAGTTGAGGCTGGAAGGGAGCTTTCAAGATACCAGTCCCAAGTGGAGGATCCCTCCGTGATCCCTTCCCATGTTAGAAAAACGGCAAACCAACAATGGGGCGAAGCTTCCTGACATGTGATAGGAGAATGATTCAGAATGACCTCCCTTCCCAGAAACAACGGTCACGGTGTGAAGATCCAAGACCCCCTATAGGGGACGAAGAAGTGACCTCCGGGATCTCAGTCGGATGGTCATGGCACTGAAGGTATTTGACCCGTTTGTCCTGTGAATCAGCCAGCTGTAGCGCACGCAAATCTGAAGATTATATAATATATAAGATTCAATATGCTTCAATCATATGCGGGGAAAACCCGTGGTTTTTTTTATCGTGGTCTAAAATTCCCGTATTGTTGCCATTATTTTCTCAGTGCATTGTGGCCAAGACTTGCTTTGGCAAAAGACTTGCTTCACCCGTGGGCAAAAGCATTGGTAGCTCCTGGCATCGTTACTAGTAACAAGAAGCTATTAGCAGCGCCTCCGCTATAGGGAGGACTTTAGTGAAGCCTCAGAGGCGAAACGACGGGCCTTGAGATCTGTGGTCCGGATCATGAACCTGCTGAGCCAGTGGAGTGAGTGGTGGTTGTGCTGACCAAGGTCTAGATGAGGTGCATCAAGTCTTCCGCCAATTGGACCCTTGGGCAGCAGAAGCGGCGAGACCCTTTCTTGTGGTGGGCGAAACGAGTCCTTGGTTCACCCCGGCAGCCCTTCTTCAACTGGAAGGAGCCAAAACAAACAAGCCATGAGCGGAACTCGGATGGAGGTGGACAAACCCGGATTATGCGGGCCCCAGTTTGCTTGGGCGACCAGAAACGGAAGAATGCGTCGTGGTCCTTTGTCTTGAGTTCTGCAGGTCTCTAAGCAGGATTTTGGCTCATTGCTTGGGCAACACGAGCGAGCAGATCCTGAGCTGTACTCCTCCTTGCTTAACAGTTTAACGTGGCCATTCGGACAGACTGTGGCCATCAATAAGGCATGATGAATCTGAACACAGGTGTTCTCACGTTCACGGTGTTCTAGCCCACCAGAGTTGAGATATATACTTGTGCATCTATGTGCAGAGAAGCGTCAGATGTATCCCCCATCCGACGCATTCACGGGAAGTGGAACATGGACCCGGGGCAGTCTGTTAGTTAATTGATGTTAATTGTGTAATGGCTATATATATATACCAAAATCATCCAAAATCAATGTTCTTGCATGTGGTTGTATATTTTTTGACATTTACTTAGATACCATATGTGTGCATGGTGTTACTGAACCACTTCCGATGCCTTCCGTACCTTCGTTCGAGGATAGCGACGGTGATGGAGTGCTGACGATACAAGAGGTTCGGTTTTGCATGTAAACTGCGGCTTCACGGTGGATGTGGGGAGGAGGTGAAAAAGGAAACAAACAAAACATGGCCGTGGTGTTGAATGGATGGGCTCGGAGGTGGCGTGATGTGTTTTGGGTGTTTTGTGTTTCGAGCATGTAGAATTTTGATGGTGAATTCGGGTGTGCCATGTCAAAAAAAAAAACAAACATATGTTGCATCAACTGGTACATCGGGTCTGAAGCAGAAATTGTTTTGATGGTCAGTTGCCATGGTGGACCACCTTTAAGGATGTAAGCCTTTTGTTCCACAAAGTAAAAGGCTATGTCTCTATGATTGGATGAGCTTATCTTCGATGATTGGATGGTGGGGGATAGTCGAATTCAAACAATATGCCACCTTTCCTCCTCCCAACTTCCCAACCCCCCCAGAGATGGGGACACATCTTCACATTCCATGCATGGGCTTTCCAGGTCATGTAGACTCTTAGATCAGATGTCAATCCCTCCGCATGAAGAGGATTTACAACCCCCATCCATATAATTTGACCATTGTAGTTCCATCACAGGTTGCCAAACAGGTGATCTAGCCGCTCCTAAGGATGTATACTTGGCCTGACGCATACAGAACCACCTTCAGAACCTCCCGGGGCCAGCCTCGTTCAGCTGGTCGAGGGACCGGGGCGGTACCGGAACGTCCGCCAGGTGCGTCAGGGCTTCGCTGCGCTGGGCTCTGGGAATTTGGAGACCGTCGAAATCGAGGCGCGAAGCCAGCGGAGTGCTGCCGGTGGGGGGAGGGGGATTTTGAGGTTCTTTTGAGTGGGCGAGGCTTTGAGGCGAGGTGACCCAAAATGGAGATGATCTGGCTCGACTTGGGTTTGCAGCTTGGGAGAGCCTGAGCCCGGATGTTTCTCCGAAGGATGTCGCCTTTGTTGAGCCATCATCAACCCACTGATTCTCAGTGGAAACGGATCCCTGCCAAACCTTCCTCGTGAATGGGCACCAACCCACACCACAACCTCCCAAGATCACAAGGTGTAGGTTGGCAAAAACAGATGAATGGATTTCCTATTTGTTGGATTTTCTCTTTGTTTTCTTTGCTTTAGTTTGCCACTTTATATACAACTTGACATTGTTTATTGCAGGGAATCTTAGACCAACAACCCCCCAAACCCACAACATCATGTGGCCATGACTGGGTCTGGAGACGTCTGACCTGAACCCTCCGACCCGACCAGACCCCTTCCGGACGGGGTCCCGAAACCCCGGGCTCCGCCCCTCCAGGAGCTCTTCGCCATTATCGACATGGATGGCTCAGGCCCGTCGACCGCGCTCGAGGCGTTGGGCGGGACCCCGTGATCCGGCCGTGGACCGTCCAAGACCCTATTCTGCGTTCTGCACGATCTGCCATGACCTATAGGAGCCCCAAAACGGGTAAATGGATGCGTTTCTTTTTTTTTCTCATGTTGGCTTTCATTATGCCAGTAGTATCAGCAGTATCTATATAGTAGTTGTGGAATTGTTAACTCTAGTAATAGTTTCCTCATCCTCATCATCATCATCACCACCACCGCCACCACCA